TACCTACATGGTTGATGTTCAACAACGTGTTGGCAGTTTCGTTTCGCAAACAAGCCGAAAATGGCCGACGTTTGGGAAAGTTGTTTGGCTTATGACGTCATCCGAAGCTCATCATCGACCATGTAGGTAAGTCAACAGCCGAAAATAGGGTGATGACTGTTGCTCGCTCATAATTGTCCATAAGGAATTGTTGAAACCCCGAAAGTAAAAGCTTCCACCTGTCGCTAGGAGGCCAGTGGAGGGTCTCTTGTCTCTGGTAATAGCTGCTCGTCGCCAACGATGTGGTAACTGATTGCCGCGAGTTTTGAGCCGCGCTCGGAGCATCGGCACGGAACTCACGCATCGGTGAATGACAGACGCGCCGACTGGAGCACGTAAGAGTACGCACCATTTTCACGACGAGAGCCGACTAGAGTACTGCCGTCTTAAAGGAAAAACGCCGTATGAACCTTCAGGTCTTGCCACATTTCCCCTGGCAAGTCGCTAATTTTTTGGAAAATTTTTTGGAAAATTTTTGAATAAAATTTTCGCCAATTTCTCAGATAATTTTGTCTGTAATTTGATCTAAAGCATGGTGTCTAGTCCTTTAAAAACCGGGATTCATCAGGGAATGAAAATTTACCGGGAAAATTAAGGAATTTGTTCCAGAAACCGAGAACAATGTAGAAGCTTTCATTGACCAGATATTATCAACATCAGGAACATTTTTTGAATTAAAATTTTGAATGTGCGCCAAAGAAATGGCTGTAAGATTAATTAAAATCTATATTCATATTTGAAACTCTGGAAAATTATTTTCCTTTCCCCAAGGAAACCGCGGTGAAGTGGGAGAAAACTTCGGTTTCTCATCCGGGAATGAGCTCTTGAAAATCAGGGAAAAATCAGGGAATGAGCTTTGCCAAGAAAACTAGACACCATGATCTAAAGTGAATGAAAATTTTCCTCACAATTTTCCTCAAATGTAAGCATTTTATCGAAAGAAATTTGGCAACTCTCGAATGTTCATGCCGCGCTCTCCCTTAGCACGGCACAGTAGCTTCATAGAGAAGGTAAAGGGGACGGACACGTTCCCTCCAAAAAATTTATTTTTTTATCTTCTTTCGGTTGATAGTTCACAAAGGGGGGGGGGACAGGGGAGTGCCCCTTGAAAACAAAAGTTGGAGTCCGTAGCCCCTTCCCATGGGGGTGAGGGGCTGAAACTTTTGGGGAGCCCCAAAAGTAACTAATATTGATCTATGAACATCTCCAAAGTTTCATTTTAAAACATTAATTAGGTAAAATTTTAGAGGGGGTTGAATGGACTTTTGGGACACCCTGTATAGCTAGCCCCAAAATGACACCAGTAGCGACTGTATAAGTTATAGAGTAAGATAATAGATCGACTCTAGTATTGATGTGAAAGGGATGTTGCCAACCTTGTCGTATCGAAGGGAGTATTTCGACTTGATTCTTGCCTTTTTCCGAAAAGCATTTTTGAGAATTATGACGGCCTTGGTTTTCCATTGATCCTCCTCTTCTTTTCCCGGCTCCCTTTATTTTCTCAACGTGACATTTCTAACAGTTGGAAACTTGCAAGGGATTTTGCGGAAATTTTTCTCTTCTTTTATGATTTGCTTCCTCGCATTATTCTATGTGGAATAGAAAGTGTCAAGTGTAGAGCTTCTACTCGCTTTGTCCTTATCATTCTAATGCCTCTAAATGTATGTATATACACAAGCTTCTTTTATTTTCTTCATTCCGCTGCCTCCATGAATTTTCATTTACCTACTAATTATTTTATTGAAGTAATTTTTAACAACCGCTGTATTATTTTGGCTTTAGTTTCTTTTATTCAGGTCGCACATTATTTTTATGGTTTCTTTTACTCTATTGGTTCAATTTCATTCTAATTATTTTGCCCTGTTTTATCATATTAGAAAAATGCAATTTCTTTCCATTTTTCTTCATTTTTACTTTTGAGTTCGATTTCTTTGTCTGTTGGACCTATGTTGGACCTATATCAATTATTTCTATCCATTAGGAAAAAATAATTTTCATTCTACAATACACTATAAATCAGTGAATTTTACAAGCATCCTTTTTTTTTTTGTTAGTATTTTTTACCAACATTTTTAAGAAAGGTCTACAAAATCCAGTGAGACTTTTTTATACAAATTACTTGTGAAAAAATTGTAAATGGCATCCGGCTGTTTTGTGTGCTCGAGATAATTATTATGAAAGCTTTAAAAGATCACAACTCTAAGATTGTTCAATTTTTTTTGACTCAACTTAAATTAAAGGTAGCTCGTACATTTGTTTTTGAGCCCCTGGTTTCAATGCTTCAAGAATGTAAATTCCCTCTGTTGTTATTTCATGAAAGCAGTTTTTCATATAATTGATTTTTTTCTCATTTAAATCCTCCGGAAAGATTGTGTTTCCTCGATAAATCCTTTTGATTTTGATACGTCTAGTTTTTTTAATCCATGGAAACAGAGCGAGTCAGAGATTTGAGACAAGCTGCCAAAGATTTACCTCCTTTTTACAAAAGGTTGTATATAATTATTCTGTTTAGTTGTGATCCGTTACCCTGCAGCCGAAACCACCGTCATTTATAAACAAATGGCGTAATCTTCAATTGCATTGCTGAATTAACTCTTCACTACGGGCATGGCTATCAAAATTATTTAAGGACAACTGACAACCACTTCCTCTAAAGTTTTGTTTTGTGAGTGTTCTTATCTCTTCATTTATTTTAATTTTTTCTTCCTAATTTATAGTCTTATCCTTTTACATTCTAAAATATCAATACCTACGTTTCCTCTCATAAGTTTTATTTTATCACAGTAAGTCTTTTTTTAGTTGAACTCAAAGCACTCCAGCTTCCTAGCACTTCGTTCAAGTATGTCAAAATGTCTAATCATAGCTTTTGTGGTAGCAGGCAATTTTTTTTTTTTTTTTCAACACACGATAACTACTACACTTCTTGGCCAATAATTATTATTCTCTGCTTCTTTTAATTAAATTTCCAAATGGTGTGGGAATTATAGGTTGATATTATATATTTCTTTTTAATTTTCTCTTTTATTTATTTTGTTCATATTTTGCTGCCTCTAGGATTTTCAGTTTGTGCTGTAACTGATAACTTCTTCAATGAAGCTCTAAATAATTCTTTAAATCCTGACCATCATATCCAGTTTAAGCACATTACTGAAATAAGTGAATAAAATGGAAATTTAACGGTAGGGTAAGAACAAAGCAAGCCTCTAAAGAAATGTTAACCAATCAAAATTTGAAGGAAAACTTGCCAGAAACTTTAAAAATTTCTAAAATTAATTCATAAAGAGCAAGGGTGCAAAAAGTATTTTGCCTTCAGCCTTCACATTTCTTCTGGCAGTCTCCACATATTATGAGGCTACCTTTACATCGTTGTCCATTGAGGGCTGCGCACATCACCATTTTCTCCGCGTAAAAGAGGACCGACAAAGAGTTTCCTTCGCCGAAAGTAAAGCGCTTAGAAGTTTCGTTCTCTCAAAATAGCATGTTTAAGAGTTTCCTTTGCAAAAAGTAGAGCCGTCTACACCTTTTGCTCCTTATTAGATGTCTTTACATTAATCCTGGGACCGGTTGATTGTGGTTTTTTCTATATCCCTCAGTAAGAGATCAGCCTTTATTGTTCACATTAAAATTAGCTGAATCAATTTTTCTTCTGGCACAAAAACCAAATTCAGTAAATCTGAAATCAACCATTGCCACTAAATTTGTTGTTAGACTATCAATTAGAGATACAATGCAGAAAGCTCTCCCTCCTTCTTTGCTGCGCATGCGGCACGTGTGATCTTACTAAGGAAAGTTCAGCATACGGGAAACATTACATCATTTGAAAACACATTATCGTTTGGTACCTATCGCCTCTGACACAGAGTCCATCAAGTGCTCAAGTTTTCTTAACAGTTTTCTTTTGATGGAAGACAATGGAACAAAATTACACAGACCTAATAATTGTCAATATCCTAAAATTAATAGCTGACTGGAGGAACCTAATGATTTTTTCTTTTTTGTTTCAGGTTTTGTTTAAATTCAACCGTCGCAGCTTTCCTTTCAATGGCACTCAATTTTTCTAACTCGTAATTTTTTTTTTTATTTTTTCATGTTTGTTGATACTACTTAGCTCTTGGTCACGAACCATGCATTCTGTGAAACCTTTTTTACATTTGTTCTCGCTTAAGTACTATTTTTTAAGAGACCACCTTTTCTAGTTTTATGTTATAAGTAAGTGCGTGGGTAAGAATTTACATAAGTAGGAGGTACGTTTAAGTTTGCTGCTCTCAGAAAGTCTCTTTTTTACAAAACACTTCTTCAACTTGCATCAATGTCTAACTTTTCAATCAAATAAATTCCAACTAAGGATGCATTTTCAGTTCAACTTTTGTATTTAAACATCTTGGAGGCTGATAGTGAGCTGATCAGAGAATGGTCTCCTTACTTAGATTGAAGAGACAGAAGAGTAAATCTTAAAGTGGTATCAATTTTCCCTCCATTTAATCTAAGAAAATAAACATTTTACTGTAGAGGAGTTACTCTTAGCTCCTTCAATTCTATAACATGTGTCATTTGATAAAACCTCCTACGAAAAATAATTGCCCTTCGACTCCTAAGCTCAGATTTCCTAAGACTTCATTACTTTTTTCTCACCAAGTTTGCTATGGAGCTTTTGTGTAAACTTTTTTTTTCATTTGATGTTTGCATAAATGTATGTGCGATATTGTATGTCTTTCTCAGCTTATTGTTTATTTTTTAAAAACAAGGAAAAGCAAAGGACGCCAGTTTTTACTTACAACTTCTATTTTCTAATGATGAAGTCCTTTTATTATTTCACCAAATTTTTGAAGTAGAAATTTTTGTTCAGGAACAGCATTTTATCTAAAAATTTAATTAAATATAAATGGATGTATGATCATAGTGTATATGTCATGCTTGAAAGATGCATTTAAATTTGAGCTTTGCTCAATTTAGTAGACTAAAAGAGCAAAATGTTTTTACCGTACCTTAGCCTTTTTATCAAAGTTGTTAATTTTATTTTTACAATAGTCTGATGCAAATGTGTGAATATTAATGTGTAACCTATTGAAAATCATTTAACTCTAACTTCATCACTTATTCTCAGGTTTTTCCAAATTTCCGTACCTCATTGTTTTTTCTGAAACTTTCTTCGTCTTTTTTTTTCCATGAATTCTTTTAGAAGTTGTCTATTTTCAAACTAGAGAGGATCACCACCCCTAAGATTCAGAGATTCCTTTCAATCACTGGTAATTTTATGAGTTCCAGGTGGACTAAATAAGCTTTTGCCGAAGCAGTGCGCGGCACAAATTCCCCCTTACTTATTCTGTGCAAGTAGCTGTTTTGGGTTATTTTGTAATATATTTTGTCTTTTCAATGCACAAACCGCCTAAGGAAGTATTTGAATCCAGGTCAAACTTAGTAAAAGCAAAGTTTCTCATACTGACATTTCAGTTGTATTCAGCTTGTACACTTCTTTCTTACTGCAAAGGTACAGTTTCTTATTTTTCAATTTTTGAATCTCTTCCTTTTTATGTTGAACTTTTCTGGCACAGTAATTTTACAATTTAATTTGCTGTTTTTTGTTAGATCTAGCATTTTTGTTGGAATGGCACAATTTTTATTGCCACTTAAATCATGATGAAGAGGACTTCAAAAACGTAACTTAAAGGCTGCCATTTTTACTTAGAAGGTAACAGTCTTGAATGATAGTTTTGAAATTATTTTCATTTGGACCGCGTTGAACAGAAAGGAACCACGCCTCATCAGCTATTGCCAAATTTAATCGGGCAATTTAATTTTTTACATGAAAGCGGTTGTGCACATTTTTGTGCAAATTTCAGTGAATTTGCTCCATAAAACAAAGCAAATTCCTTAAAATTTTTAAAGGAATCTGCACAAATGTTCTCTCGTAAAAAATCAAATGTCCCTGTTAAATTTGGCAATGGCTTATGTGGCTTGGTTCCTTTCTGTTAAACACAGTCCATTTAACCAGGAGTAAATGATTGTCTTTTCACATTTATTTTAATCAGAAGGATTTCATTTTTAAGGACATTGATGTCATGTGAGCGAAACTGAGTTGTTGATGCAATGAATATCATTCATCTTCTGATCTACCTACTCAAAACTTTCAATGGCATTCGTAAGCCATGAATGATGCATACTAAAAGACGGTCAAACATTTTTTGAGATATTATTGTCCTTCTTTGTTTGTTTTTTTAAATTTTTTTTTATAACATAGGTTTACTATTTAAATCTTAATTGCTGAGGAGTGAATGTGTTTTTTGTTTATTCTTCATTGTAAATAGATTTTTTAAGTTCAGAGCAAGTACCCAACTGATGGTCCAATACACAAAATATCTTGTACTTTAACATAATCTACGTTTCTGAAGAAGTTCTTCCCTTTGGTGGCAAATTTCTTTTTCTCCCTCATGTCAGTAATTTTGGACATTTTTTTCCCCAGCAAGAGGAGAACTTGCAGGTTTTAAGCGTAGCTTCATTATTATTTGAATGGTTTTTCATCCTCAATGTTGCTAAGTCATTGTCTTGAAGCAAAATTTTGTCACGCCCCCTATATGTTTGAAGGTTTGTTTCTTTTCTACTCTGAAGTTACAAGAGTATCTATGATTTCATCGAGAGGAGAAAGAAAGATATCATTCCAAAGGGAAGTGAAACAGTGTTACCAATATATGCCTGGTCTGAACTCCCAATTTTTTTATTTTTCAACTATTTCCCCGACATTAATTCATCTTCTTTGAAATACTTATTGAGTATTCCATTTCGTAAAAGTTAACCATTTGGCACCTGATTGTATCTTTCACTCTCCCTCTGCCTGTGCCCCTTTTTGCTTTCCTTTAAGTACTTTCACTTGATTGTAAAACTCAAGAAAGTAATTCATTATTAGAACTTAAACCAAAATCGTCGTTAAAAATCATGGATGCGTGCATCCATTAAAATGATTGTTGTTAAGAATATACATGAGTCCATAATATTAATTGATTTTCTTCGGTGTCATTCCATTTTATACAACGCATGTGTTAGAGAATGTAAGAGCCTCTCAAGATAGTGAAAATTAATTTAAGGATTAATTTAGACACGCAAATTTAAGGATTCTTCAAGATTTGTCAGTGGTTTCAAATTGGAATGCCATTCAAAGGATTCCTTTGAGAATTGCAAGTGATTGCTAACCAAAATTACGTCAACTCATTAAATTATCTAGCTTGGAACATCGTAAAAATATCATAGCTGTCAGGTTGACATTGACCCTTCCATAATTTCTACTCTCTATCACATGCTGCGTATCAAAGCTACCGCCCATTAAATTTATAACATCAGTAGGAAAAAAGCTGGTATTCTCTTATTGTGTGATGAATTCAATATTTGGTTTTTTATGCCTTTAAACAGCATTTCTGGTTTTAAATGTTAATGATGGTTACCGTGGCCGTGAAAAAGTGACTTTTTCTCACTCAACATGTTTTTTTTTTTTTTTTTTTTTTTTTTTTTTTCTAGCTATTTCTACACACTATACTCGTGAAAGTAGGTGTTTTTGCTTGTTCAGTTTTTTTAATTCCCTCTATTAAATGTGTAGGCGTCAATTGCATTAAATTAACTGAACTTGTGTTGGGTGTCAGAAAAAAATACTCACCGAGCAAAGCACTCGTACACTGAGGTGAGCATTTTGCTAGAATTCCCAAATGTGATAGAATATTTACCTCCAACTACGACTTGTGTAAAAGGAGAGTGTTATTTATGTGAGGAATAAGAATAAAAAATTCTGAACAACTGAACTCTCTATTTAAATTTTTGTGTTCATGCGTCACATTTGAACCAACTCAATTGCTCATACTGATTTTCAGTGAACATAGTATGTTTTAACTTTGACTCAAGGCCTTGACTCCGAAGAACACACTGTCAGTCGCACAAAATTTGAACTTAATTGCAGAGCTTTCAAGAAAACATTAATGGACTGGATGAATGAAAGTTGACCAAGTCCACGATTTGGAGTTGAGTCTCTTGGTTGCAGCAATCCGTTTTGAGGAAATTATTTAATTGCAGATTTTTTCACACGACACAGTTCAGCAATTATTTTCATGGAAATAACCTAGGAAACAAGGCAGCGCCTTGTTGTGTCCGTTTTTGTTTGAAGTTGAATCTAACTGTGCCAAATATGTCCACAATCGGTAGTTTACATAAGCATTTTTCTGTTTCAACCCCAACTGATATTAATGTTTTCCCCCAATCAAATGTCGAACAATAAATAACTTTATTCATGTGCCTGATATGAAGCTTTATTTATATTTTGTACGTGTTCTTTTTTCATATTTCTGCTATCTGTATTTATAAATATTAAAAAACTAAATTATTACCGCAAGTCTGTCGTTCCTTTAACTTCATTGGCCCTCTATCTAAAGCCTAAAGAAAAATGGTACTTGACTCAAATTTAGCCAATAGTCAAAGCCAACATAGTCCATTCTAAAGCTCACAAGAACACATGAAACTTGGCAAATTCAACTTTTAGGGCACTCTCTTACTGATAATATCAATAGGCCTCATATCACTAATTTTAAGTCATTTAAGGAAAACTAAGTCGAAAATTGCAGCATTGGCCATTTACATAGACACAATTTTGAGTGATTGGGATACACAGATAGTGCATTTTTAGGCCTTGTCCACACGAGCGCGGTTCGCGGAAACTTATTCCTCGAACTGCTCAGTTCCCGGAACTTATTCCTTGAAACGAGGCATGCTGTCCACACGAGTTCGTCTGAACTGGAACCGAAAGTTCGTGTACATGATGGCGGGAATTTTGAAGGTTATGACAGAGTATAGGGATAGAATTTTCTTCATTAGCCGCAAATTTTCATTCCTCTTTGATAATTTGCTTTAAGATTCAAATTAAATCAGACTTACCTTTGTCGGACTCACGAAAATGCAGGATGAAATAACGGGAGAATGTAAATAAACAACAGATCACGTCACAACAATAACAAAGTTCCTACTTCGGAATAGATCGGAGGAATATGTTTTTAGCTCAGCAGAAACTTGTTCGCGGAACGAGTTCCTCGAACTAGTTTCTTGAACCGCGCTCGTGTGGACAAGGCCTTAGCTATCCATAGCTGAGGAACAATATGGCCTATCAGAAAAATGACGATTTTACAGGCTGAAGAGAAAATTTCGCCATTTTTGTTGTTTTGAGGTTTTAGCAATTTTTATTATACATTAAGCATCATTCCAAGACTTTCATGCAGAATTGAAAAAAACTAAAAAACACCAGCTTGCGTATTTTATACTGTGGAATAAGGCGAAGTCGCTGCTTATTTTTGCCAAAATTCCAGTTAGGCAGGATTGTTCCTTAGCTATCGCTATGCTAGTACCAACAAAGTTTGTAGTGAGCTACCCTCCTTTCAAGTAGATCTCCACTTCATTGTCTCAAATTTTTAATTTTTAATTTAGTTTCTCTCTTCTCAATTCATTCTTGATCGAAACCTTGACAACTATCATGATGAAAAATGAAAAATCAGAAGTTTAAGTTTATTTTTTAACTTTATTCAAAAGAGGTATTGTCTTATACCCTCCGTAACAGAAGTACAAATAATATGAACAGTTCACACAAGAGAACTACAATTTATAATTTTAATAGAGAATAAGTCAGTTGCATACAAATGACAATAACCTGATTCTTGTGCAGATCATAGTTACAAAAGAAAATGATCCTGCCATAAAAGTAGCACAAATCACAAGATACTATCTTGCTGTTTCACGACTTGAGGGCTTAATAAAATTTATCCGGGTATCTGCCAGATAAAGAGCTAACTATTCTTGGAAGTCATCTAGTGTATTTATGTTTTCATGGAACAGTATTAATATAACTGAAGGAAAATGAAAGAATTGGACTATGTCCACTCTTGGCTTATTGTGTCTTGTATTACAAAACTGCCAGGAGCCTACATCGTTGATCTATATCAAGTCTTGAGAGAATATCCTTAAAATCTACATCTTTCAGGTTTCATTTCTCAAATAGAGCACCAAGAGTATCCTCCTTATTCCTTAAGAGAACTAAAAAAAAAAATGTTCAAATGTTTCTAAACAAATAATTTCCTAAAACTATTTGTGCAAACGTTCGTGTAGAGCGTTGTAATGTATCATTTCACATCTAAGCTGAAAGCTAAATGGATATGGATTCAAAAATGTCTGACTAGAACAAGATGTATTAAATTGCTTCATGATTTGATTATTTGAAGTTGAGAGGAGGTCTTCGGGTAGAATTCTTCTCAAAGGGCATTAATTTTTCATCATGAGAGATTAATTATATGAACTGATCAGGCAAGGATTTGGGGCTGGCTTTTTTGTCAAGTACCAAAAAAATCATTGGTCTAGGGGTGTTCAATCGGTTTTTGGTGAAGCTATTATAACAGTTCCATTGAGAAGTAGTAATAATAAGGAAAAGCTTACCACTGACAATTGAAGTTTTTGAAACTAATGAAAATGAGCTGTTGCCTTGTTTATCCGCTCCGAAGGCCAATCAACTCTACAGACAGGTACACCTGACGTTTTGATTCAAGGCCCTCAGAGTTTCAACAATAGTGCTTTTAACAAAGCAAATTCGCATTTCGAAACAAAATATTATCGGTAGTTTACCATAAAAAATTCGTTTGAACACCCTTACATTGGTCTCTTCGGATCTCTTTAAAACAGCAATAAAATTCCGTCACTACCATGTAAAATTGACTAATTGACGTATTAGTAAAAGGATACAGAACTATTGAATTAAGAAGTTATTACGCTACGAAAAAACAGGTGCTGGGGATGCACTAAATTAGAGTAAACATTCCACCAGGGTTTTAAAATAGTAAGGAATATACCCTAGTTTTTTTTTAAATAAGCAGAGGAGCAGTAAATAAAAACTTAAGGACTCTTAGTGAACTTGGGAGCCTTTGAAATAATAGGATATTTGAACCATTTCTTTTACTACCCAAAGGTTCCGTCACTTCCTTGTCATTGTCAGACTGAAAAAAACTGTGAGAACTATATGTAGTTATCAGGATTCCGTGAAAATTTCTGAGGAAAAATATTATCTGCTCCCTTGCATGTAGATTTTGGGAAAATAGGAGACGTATCAATTTGGTAACGAATTTTGCCAGACGGCAAATTATGCAAAATATCAAGTTATCTAATTTTACTGTATCCCTCAATATGAAGGTAATGGTACTCTACCTACAGTTTTGTATTTGGCTCAACATTTCGACTAAGTTCTTTAATTTTCTTTAATTTTAATCTCTCATAAAGTTTTGGTAGACGTGATGGATCTATTTATGAACTATGGGTGTGGAGAGCAAAATTTTTACAAGCACTGAATGACATACTCCTTTAAAGTGACCTAACTTTCCCCTCTATCTACTTATAACAATTTGATACTTAGGGCAAGAATAAGTGGATAAGATTTTGGCATGAATATATCTATTTAAATGTTAAACTTGTCAAGTCATTTACAATATTTGTGAGATCAAATTCGTATTTTGAGTAAATTGTGACTGAAACTGAAATTTTTTCTGTTGTGTTGGAGCACTTAAAGGAGATAACCTATCAAGGACTCAATCATTTTTCCATGATTAGAATGAGCTGTGCTTACAACAAAGTATCCTGCCGCACAAAGCAAAAATATGATTCCATTTTACGATCTGCCATATTATTTTTAAAAACAAGATGTTCAATTACAAATTAGTCAGGCTACTCTCATATTTATCTCTTCAATACAAGTTTCAATAGCATGACACAGTCATGCTACAAATTGAAGTATATGTTGTGAGTGATTGATGAAAAAAGTGATTTTCTTGCCTTAGAGAAGTTAGTCAGAGAGAAATGGAAAAATCTAGAATGAGGTGACAGCTTTTTTTGCTTTGGACGGCAGACTCACACAAATTCCAAAAGACAAGAAAAAGGAAAATTCAGTCCAATATACATTAGCTCACCTACATTCTTAATATATTGTGTCTTAGCGAGACTAAAAAATAAACAAGATTATGTTTGGTAGAAATTCTATCACTTAAAGGTAGATACATAAATATATCAAATTGAAAAAAAAAAATTGTATGATTATGAGTAAAAATTAGAATCTGAATGCATATGCTCGAATCGTGAGTAAATGAATGCAATCCAGGGATTTGTGTACAAAATTCAATTTTTCATCTTTAATGGAGCAAATTTGGGTGGAAGTGAAATTATTTTAAGGGTAATTGCGATGACTTTCTAATACATGGCTGACCTCAAATTTTCCACAGAGCCTCCTGAAAATGTTAATGGTTGACGATCCAATCGAAGCTGTTAGTGATGACTATCATTAGAATAAAACTCACAATCAGACACAGAGGCTAATGAATTTAGCCTAGCCTCTTGGGCAATCGACCTACTTGTCTTTTTACAGGTCGTTCATAAAGTGCGTAATGCTCTGGGGGGGGGGGGGGGAGTCAGAGCTTGCATTCAGGGTGTGTCGCAGGGAGGGGGACATTCAGGACTGCGTTGCGTTCTTTACGTTAGAATGGGCATGTAGCGCTGATTTTTCGAAAATCTAGGATGAAAAATCGACATAGAGTGGCAATTTTCTGCCAAAGTTCATCATGAAACGCCAGCTGGAGGGAGTCAAACAAAGCGCAAGTAATTAAATACAGTGACCCACACCTGTTCCGAGTGCGTACTCTACCGAGGGGTGGGGGGGGGTGTCCAATTTTTAGCATTACGTATTTTATCAACAGCCCCTAGGTACTTCAGCAAACTATTTTGATTAATTACAGTGGCTTTTTGAGATATTAATTTGCGACAATTAATAAAACAATCATTAAATTATTGAAATTAGCATTAGTGGAAAAAATTAATGCCAGTTTGTTTGCAGAGTATAAAACAGGAGCAAGCAATGCTGCACATAGAAAAAAAAGCATCAGCGTTAAACAAAAGCAGTTTAAGACGGAATTACACATTGAGTGAGAAAATACACAGCATGCATTTTTACTTAATACATTCAATGTGGAAGCCAGACGTAAAGCATGTTGCATGGACTTTTTTGAGTATCTCAATGAGGGAGTGCATATGCATCAAATCAATGGCCTATGTGCGAAACCACGTATCTCCCTCTGTGACGTTGCAGATTCCCAGTTAGAGATTATAAAAAGAGTTATAGAGAGATGAGATTAGTAGAGAGAGAGAGTATGAGATTAGTTTATTTATTCTCTTTTGGAACAAGAGCCTTTGGGTCAAGAACATATTTTCGTGAACACTTCCTTAATTTTTCTTCTCTGTCAGAAGAAAATTCTACATAAATTTCAAGCTATAAAGTTAGCTTGTTTCTCTTGGAAAAAATTGAATAGGAGAGGAAATTTTGAAACATTGAAATGGAGATCCGTTGTTTCACTTTAGGCCATTAAAATGTATCGACAGAGAAACTGCAAATACGTTTAACTCGGTTTGCGATGCTGCAGCCTTCTAATCATTATCTATTTTGTTAAAAATACTAGACATTATCTCTTAGTGAATTACCTGATTTATCACCTCTGTGTGAAGAATATTTCAAGAAAATTTCCAGCAACAGTGTCAGTCTATTCTCCTTGAATACAATGACTGGAAGTAGAGATTTTGAAACCCCGCAAACAAAATCTGTGTTTTTGCAGTTTTACTGTCGATATTTTTTGTCAATTCTAATGTTTTGAGTATATCATCATTTTCCAATATAATCATTTGAAAGAGCATAGGAAATACAGGAATACAGGAAATACAGATCTCATGAAATGCTGGCGACTGTTCCAAATCCCTTCTAAAGAACTGTGGAATTTTAGAGAAAAATTCATTGGCTATTATGGTATAATTCTAAATTTTTTCATGAATTTTCGAGTACTTTTTCAGATTGGCATTTGGTTACTTACAGACAAGCCAATGCTGGGCATCAATCGTACCTTGTCTACGTACTCAGATAGATAACTGGCTAAAAAGTTTTTCAATTAGGTATCTATAAATGCTGTTTTTAGAGAAGAAGGATAGAGGATTAGAGTGAAATTTCGTTTAACTATAAGAAATGTTTGTTGTTCAAATTTTTTCAGGAAAGGTTTCATCTTTCAATGAAAAGAAAGTAATGAATTGATCAAGTCAGTGAAAAGTCACTAGCATTTCTTTTGGCACAAATCCGAATTCCATGTGCTCCTTAACAAGTACAGTAGAACCCTAACTATTTGCGACCATCTGAAGCATTCATGGTTTAGTTTCTTAGGCGAAAAAAGGGTGAAATCAGTGAAAAATCGTTACTCCGGCTCAATGGGACATACGACCATTCAAAGTTTCTTCATGTATAATCAAATTGTACTCAAAATGACAAAATTTTTCATCATCTTGCTTAAGTTTACTGAGCATACTTACTACTGTACTATTTGCAAAAAACGACTTATACGGTAATATTTCATTCCAGGGGTTGTAAGTTCATATTATTAGCAGTACCTCCAGTCCCAATTACCCTGATAAGCCAGGGTTCTACTGTAAATATTTTCACAACACACATGCTTCACAATTTTAACGATAGTTTCCATGATCCTATGGGGCAAAAGAAAAAATTCTGATGAGTTAGATTGAACAATGTATTTAAGAATGACTGAGCAATGCTGTAAAAATCTGATAATGACTTAAGTTTGCAAAAATAGTATAGGTATCAAGTAGGAAGACTATTAGTAAAGAGTCATAAAAAAAAAAAAAATGTATTAAAAATAGACTGGAGTGAGAGATGGTCCGTAATTATAAAACCAAAAGGTTTCAACTTACAATGCATTCATCTTGGATGGTCTGTAAAAGATCTCAAAGCTTAGCTCTCAGAATCAGTCAGGGATGCTACATTTAAAGACGTCTTACGCAAAAGTAGTGCATGAAACTACCCAAGAGTAGCTATACAATCGTACACTGAACAGAAGAAGAATGATTGGATTAAGTATTAGAAGTAAAGCTTGAAAAGTTTGAGGCCAGTCGATTTATTCATCTGTTCATTGAAGTCTAGGTTAGTTTGCTTGCGTTTGAAAAAAATTATAGACTGTCAAACTTTTTCCAATTACCCTCTCGATTCTACTATCAGAAAAACTGGGCTTGAAAAACAATAAGGCATACTTAATTTGTGAAGAATGAATCTAAAGATCGCAATGAATCTTGAGAATGAATGAAAGTCTTGCCCAAGTGATTCAAATCACATGATAAATATTAAAGTTAAGAGAGAAAATCTTGCAAATTCAAGCCAACAATATTGGAATGCCTTAATTTGGTTAAAGAGCCAGACTTCCATAATATTAATAACTTATCAGTCATGAAGTTGCCGAGAAACTTCGCTAAAATTGGTTTATCGGTGACTAGTTTTAGTTTGGATAGATAGTTATCACAGTCAATATATTGATGCAACACACCAGCAGTCAAAGGTAGTGCTTCAGATCTTAATTTTTTCTTTAAACCTAAATTTAAATTTTCATACTTGTCAAAATGAATATAAATCGAGTTCATGAGGGTGTTAGGGTCTAGGCACTGAGTTTTCCGTAAGGCCATTGGCCAGGATAACTGGGATTGCTTATTGTCAGGGTAATTTGTACAACATACAAAATTGCTGAGCTTTAGACTAACGGGTGATTGCTGAGCTATGTAGGGAGCCAGTGTATGCTTTAATGAATTATTCACTTTAGGGATAAGGTAGTCTTGCCATGAGGACACCATAATTAGCGGAACTTTATCTGCTGCCCTGAGCAAGCAATCGTGTTGTATGACCATGTCTTCAATAAAAGCATCGGAGAATGGGAAATTCCATGTCATGACTGAAATGCTGTCACTAAACCCATCACGTCCAGCCAATGATTGTAAAATAGGTAGGATCCCATGCTGCACACCGCTATCATAGACAATGAAATCAGAGACTCCGATACTGCGATGAAAGCTTATAAACTCAACAAGTGCAGAGTTCTGAAGACCCGATTTGTCTGGTCTCACGCACATCACTGACTGCCAATTTGTGCTGACTTCTGAAACTTGATGGTGGACTGGTATGAAGACACGCGAGTTGACACTTGAGCCATTTGTGAAAATAACACCGTAAGGTTCATGGGCTCCATATACTGTGTCATGATTTTCTTCTGGTTCACAAAATAACATGTACATATAGAGACTCATGATGTTAGTTTCTTTGGATTTGGAGTGATAGACAGTTGTGAAGTGAAATTTTCCTCTGATTGAGTTGATGACCCCATTATTAGAAAACCATACGCGGCAATTAAAATTGTAAAAATTAGAATGCGGCCCAACTGCTATCGCTTCAATGAGATCTTTATCTTTATAACCTTTGAAAAATGCTGAGTAGATATAATGCTGGTCAACTTTCGTCCATGCTGGAGGAGGGTTGGAGAATCTGTAGTGCCTTTGTTTTTGATCCAAAAATGTTTCATTCAAAACAGCGCAGTTGCTGTTAAAAGTTTCTTGAGGTGATCCGAAAAAATTGAGGACTTCTAGGACATATCTAAGCTTCAAGTACTCATGCCTGTACATCAACAGTGTACCTACACTGAAAGTCGTTATCAGAATCAAAGCAAGTTGTCGGTACTTCTTCATGGTCCGATAAACATAATACAGAACACTTTTACACAATGAATGACATAAGCTTATCAGCGATTGATAACATGCGACACCAAGCTTACTATTCAACAAACATAAATTACTGAGGATAGAAAATTTTTGTCACCAGGTAGTGTTTTATGTCCCACGAAGTTCATGGAACTGAGCACATTCAAAGGCCTCATGTTGCACCAAATGGATTCCTATGAAAATACTAATAGCCCACACTCTGAAAGATACTGTAACGTAAAGTAATTTCAGGTGGAAATCTAATTCATAATTGGTCAAACAAAAGAATATAAGTAGTGGAACTGACTTCACCGACTGGCAGAATGCAAGAGAGGTTAGGTTTGATTGCAAAGCAAACAAAACAACAACAATTAACAAATATAAATATAAAACAGGCAACAGCGGAAGAGATCCGAGCAAAGATTTTCATTGGTTAGTTACTTTTGATGAAAACTGCGCTGATTGGCTAATGACTTCGACAGAAGTAAGCCCGCAATATTCAAATTGACGGAGAAAGTGATATCTAGTCACTGGGATTCTCTGCATTTCTGCTAACGCTATCAATTTATTATCAGTAAGATCAAATTCTTTGGAGAAGAAAGTGCATTTTGGAATCTTAAATTTTCAAATTCTCGAGAGTGTGTTCGTTTAAGTAATTAGAAACCATTGAAAACTCATTGCAGTGGTATTAAAGCCACGTAATCGAGTTTCCACAATCTCAATGTATCTATGTATGTCCACATATAGTGCTTGAAGAATTTTTTCCCTTCCGATCCAAGAAGGTTGGAATCACGCTTATCAATGATGGAGCTTATGCAACTGGTCAGAATCATGATTGTAATTTCTTTCGATTCTTGATTGAAAACATTTTGCTCAGGTTGATGATCTGCGCGTCCCTGAAGTTTCTTTACTTAATTGGATTAAACCTGTTTCAACCAAAGCATTCTTAAACAGGGTAAAAATTTCCGAAAATGGACAACAAGAGTCGATGGTTAAACAAAATTGTCTTCTTAGTTTTGAGTATCGATCAATTTTTTTAAATTCATTGGCTGGATTTACTTGAAATCCAAATCGGTGGCTACTTTCATTGCTTTATTTTTCCCTGGGGGGGCTGAAACTGCTCTCTGCTTAGAAGACAGACTGGACCACCCATGACACTGCAAATCCTTAATGATGCGTCATCCATCGGCTCCATGACTACTTGGGAACTTAATCAATTCCTCCCCACAGATTTGCGTATTGTTCTCCATGGCTCAAAAAGAGAAGTGTCCTCCATATTGCACAAACAGACAGGAAGATAGACAGAAAAAGTTACTCAGCATTTAAAAAGAAAGAAGTGAGACTCGGTTAATACAAGGAAATCTGGAGAAATTAATTCACAAAAATGAAATATTAATAAACTTTTATTGAACCAATAACAAAACGTACATGTGTAAGAAAATAAATTATGAATAAATATAAGCTTACATTTAGTAGCTGGATAACTTATTAGACATTAAAAAATAAATACAAACGACTTAAGACTAATACCGCCTCTTTGAAGAATAATTTTAAAATACTGGGTAGGGTACTGTTAAAAAATTTTAAATAAACTTGTAAAAAATAACGATCATTGAATTATTACATATCTTGTTGCTGCGTTTTCATGACAGAATTTCATTGTAATGAATAATATTCTAATATAAAGGTTAGAAAAACAGTAAGCCCTTGAAGAGACCTGAGGTAACAGACTGAAGTAAGTAAAGAAAATCTGCCAACTACACATCAGCAATAAAGGCCAAACAGAGTAACTTTAGAAAAAGTGTAAATATGCTAAAATAAAAATACATTTAAAAAATAAAAGAGCCAAAAGGCTAAGTAAAACAGATTATAAATTCATGCGTATAAAGAAAGGCAAACAAGAGAGAGACAGAAAGTTCTTTTAACTGAATATTTTTGGAGCTTGCTGGACTTGTGCTGTCATGAAAAACTTACAAAGTCATGGCGCTAAAAGAAAGCTGAGCGATAAAAGAAAAGTGATGTGATGACAATATTGCACAATCTACCTATCTCATCAAATGATGAATAATGAGACGGTTTTCATTATAAAATAAAACCATATGACATAACTAAGATCTGAAATGAATCATGGATGACAAGAATTATGGTAAGACATTACAAACATGTATAACAAGCATCGATCCACCCAAAATAAAAGCAGAGGAAGCATGTAGAGTATAATATTCAGTATGTGAAATGATTTTCGGAAAGTCAAGTTCAATATTGAGTTTCATTGGAAAACGGAAAAAAGTAAACTGATAAATTTATATCAGGCCAACAGTAATTAGTATTTAATCAGGGGGGTTTTAGAATTGTTCCATGGAAGAAAATTTTAGGGAATAGGCCTTAGCAAAAGTGACTTTTAACTCTCATATGCCTTTGTTGTTACATTAGATAAATGTTTACCACTACTTAAGAGCTATAGCTCTGAGTGTAAGTGTAGATGAAAAAAAAAAGAAATGAAAAAGTGTAATAGTCAGGAATAAAAGACAAATCTTTGATGCATTTCAACATACGAGAATAGAGAAAATAAAATGTTGAGTTGCGTTCAAGGCAACTTAATAAAAAAAAGGGCTTGTTAAACTGAAAGCTGATACTACACGTAATACTTTATTTCTTGTGACTGCATCCCTGCAACATCCGAGGTATACATATTGTGCAGAAAGAACAGAATGGTGCTGAAAGATGTTCAGGAGGTGATGAACATGTACCCTTTCTCCTTGTGTAATTGAAACATTTTTGCGAGAATTAAACGCCAAAAATCGTTTAAAATAATTCATTACCAGCACACTTAAAGGAAATGCGCATAAGGAGGGAAGGTGTGCTCAAACACATAGCCTGACAACCTTCATACTTAAAAAAAATTATCAGAAAAATAAAATGAGGATTAGAGCGTCGAGAGGAAGTTTTTTAAGAAAATTAGCCTGATAAGCAGATGCTTTGCCTCTCAAGTTATCGCAAACAGCCAAAAGTTGTTTTTTTTGACGCGCTCTGTCAGTCACACTGAAAACTAAACAATTGTAAAGCTGTCGGGTGTAAAGGTTACCCCGACAACAGCAGATTGAAGAGCTAAGTAACAATACATCGCCTATACCTGGTCTTGTGTTAAGTGAACATAGGATGCTTACTGTTGCAGAAAGTAAAAAAAAATTATTACAAAGTTCCCAGGTTGCTTGGTTAAAAATGCCTGTAAATACTGAAGCCCAAGCCATATCAACGACCATAGTGCAGCACCAGTTTTTCAAATTCAACCGGAAAATGATGGTTTTATTTATTTTCTTTTCATATCGTTTCCCGCCCTTTCTGATTCTCAATATAAACCTTAAAATTACGGGGAAAAGAGAGCAAATGAATGGAGCAAAATTCAATATGGCAAGGAATAATTAAAAAACGGTAGATTACACTTAGACTAAAAACTATGAGCAGATCAAAAGCCCTGCAGCGCACTGCCAATACTGAAATTCAAAAGCTATGTAGCAGATAATTTAAGAAATGACATGAGCTGAAATACTCGATACATTATGATTTACCAATTCTGTGACATTGAAAAGTTTGGACATTCGATTGGGTTTCTTCCTGAGTTGTTTCAAAAAGAGAAAGTCTAAGATGATGCATCAAAGGAGATGTAAAATTGTGAGACTTGAAACAAACAGCTTGGTTCTAGAAAAATTACGAAAAGATGCGCCTATGATAGTATGACTCAACCTGATAGCTTACTAAAAAATTCAGCTCATTCTCTTGTCATATTTCAGTGGTCCATCTCAAGGGAGGTATAAAGTCAAAATCGAAGGCTCAGATCTTGAATGGAGAAAATGAAGGCATACAGAACATTTTGGGGTTGCCATTAAGCATAGGAAACAGAAGCGCCGCAAAACACCATCTGTAAAAATCGAATTTAAATATCTTCAATGAGATAAAGAGCGGAAACACAAGATTAAAGATTTTCATAAAAATGAGTGTGATTCACAGTTAAGGAAATATTTTTATTCAAAATTATTTGTGAAATCTGGAGTTGAAATAAAAGGTACCGAGCTGATGAATGACTAAAATATAAGCCCTACAAACAAAGGACACATTTAACGCTAAAAAATTTGGTGCTGCCGCCCCTCTTGATATTTATTTCTTAAGACCTCCTGAACACGATGAGCTTTTAAAATCAAACTTCCTGGGTGCCAAATGCCAATCTCGAGAAGAACAGGGCTGAAAAGTCAATATTTTGGCCTTTAAACACGAGTTTTCTGATGCGGATGTGAGACTGTTGCTATGTATGTGGATACTACGCCGCAGGCTCTTATCACTCCAAAAAAGTTGATTATTTTCGTCTTTCTTATCTCCTCAACTGGCAAGGAAACAAAAGATCTTCTCAATCACTCATCAGATGTTCCGATTTTTTTACCAGGTATTGCAAGTGAAAATGCATACAAATTCACTTTTCAGCCCTGCTTTTTTCTAGATCGACACACAGAAGGTTCGATTTTAAAAGATTATTTTTCTCAGGAGCTCGTAAGGAACAACAAATAAAAAATCTTGCAATTCAGCCTGGGCTGAATTATTTAGTATTCCACGTGTAGTCCTTCGTAAGAAAATTTCTTGTTCTTAAAAACACACATTTTAGCACTTCTACCAGTGAGCCTTTAAAAGACTCCAGAATCCTTGCTTCATTTGGAAATTTTTTTTTAAAATGTTGCGAGCCTCATTTTAAATCCTACTCCATATAAAATGGTAAGGTGAGGTAGGTATAACGCCAAAAATCCTAGCGCAAAAAACTTAACGCTGGGCGTGTCCACTACCCTTTCCAAACCCTACCTCCTTTTTCACTTCTATTGCATCACCCCTACCTGCGCATTCTGCACCCACTCAATCCGCTATCCCTTCTCTAACTCCATACCCACAATCCCTATCTTTTCTAAATCTTTTATTGCGGTAACCTTAAGATGATGACTCACTTGAAAAAAGTTCTTCAAAACATTCCCGGGCGATCTGTTTCTTCATTTCCTGCTTTCTCAAAGAACATCGCATCCTGAAAAATGAAAACAAGATTGAGGATTAAAATTGCTTGAGTACATAAATGAGGGTACAATCCATAACAAAATTGTGCAGGCATGTTCTTCCTTGCTTCAAACATTGATGGAAATTATTTGAGAGATAAATCCCCGTGAACTCAGTAAAATTAACAAAATTTTTAACTTGATGAAACAAATTTTCAAAGATAGTTTCGTTGAAAGAGACCATACTAAGCCTGCCAAAAAGAGTCCAATATCTTACACAGCATTGCAAAATTTGGAAAGCCAACAGATTTTTCTTTTCAGTACGTTTTTCGAGGGAATAACTCATGTACATCAAAATTTTTTACCTGGCTTGAGTCTACGCCTAGTAAGTTTACGCACTTTCAAACTGCAACAGAAGATCCACTATCTTGATTTTTGCATTTTCTTTCTATGTGAGAATGACGTCAGATGATCTTCTGTCACAGTCTAAAAATGAGCAAACTTATTTGATGCGGACACTACAAATTATGAAATATAGACTGGAAGAATGTGCACCTTCTTTTTTAACATATACTATGAAAAGGCTCCAAATGAGTGAAAAAATTCTGTAATTGCCGCCAGTTGCAAGAAGCAAAATTTGAAACATTAAAAATTACATGGAAAGCGATATAAGAGGAATATCTATCGGGCAGCTTTCTCCTGATGACTTGCAATAGAGAATAAATCATTACAACTCATCTGTTCTGAGCTACTAGTAAAAAAGGAAAAATCAAGAAATATGAAATAACTTACAATCAAGAAACAAGCTCCTAACATGACAGCTTTCATGCGGACATCTAAGTCAATGGGGAAAGTGATACCAAAGTAGTCAGCATCTGTGAACATTTCGCGCAGCATTCCGGACCACTGTTTTGAAATTTTTCCCACTTCAGTAGAGCCATCTTTGGATAATACCTAAAAAATAAATAAATGATATAATTTACTTTCATTTTCTCTTAGTCACATTTCCAATGATGAATATTGAGACTAAAAATCGATAGTGAAACTGCAAAAATGCATATCTCCGTTGTGAAGTATTCAAATCTCAGCTCATATTTCAGCTTTTGAAAGGAGACGGAACAAACAAAATGGCTTTAAATTTTCATAGAATATTCTTGACATAGAGAAGAGAAATCACCAAAGTTTTCAAAAAGTGACATTTTGAAGTTTTCCATACAAGAAATAAAGTATGACAAGAAGTCTGCAACGCCATAAACCTATAAACACATTTCTGCAGTTTCATTATGGGCCTGTTGCAAACTTTTGCTAGAGCAAAAATAAGAGTTGTTTTCTATAGATAATGCCTCAAAAATCACGATGAGCGCATCGGCAAAGTCTGAAATGCAATCATAACTTCACAATCTGCGTAAGAAATTTGCGTTTTTTTGAGCTTCCCGCTTCAAAAACGATACTACGGCACAGGTGATCATTTTGTTAGAAGAGTCGCTCCATCGTCGGCAATATTCATCATGGCCGACGCTTGCGCAGTTCCTCGCGTAATTCGAGGAGAGTTCAAGGTCAATCAAGGCGGGTGAGGAAAATATGAACGTAAACACGCCGATTGTTATCTGGTCTAATCCTGTTCAGGTGTTATCTCGTCCCATCACAGGTATTTTGGCGGATTGTCGTCGGCCATGATGAGTATTACCGACGATGGAGGGACTCATCTAACAAAATGTTCACCTGTGCCGTAGTATCGTTTTTGAAGCGGGAAGCTCAAAAAACCGCAAATTTCCTACGCAGATTGTGAAGTTATGAGTGCATTTCAGACTTTGCCAATGCGCTCATCGTGATTTTTGAGGCATTATCTATAAGAAACAACTCTTATTTTTGCTCTAGCAAAAGTTTGCAACAGGCCCATTGGTATGTAATATGACATGAGAGAAGAAGAATCCTTCACTCCATATGAGGACAACAATCAATTGATGTTTCTTTGAGAGGACTTTTTAAATTGATTTCGGCTAAGAAAATTTATGGAATGAGATTCTAATAAAATTAGATTCCTATAAAAGTTTCAGAATTTTTTCAGAATCAATTTGTTAAGCAAATGCATTTGACACTGCATTTTGCATAAATGCATTAAATATTTGACATTGACAAAAGCTTCATTTACGAGGTCTGTTAGATTAGAAATCGGATTTTGGTGATAACTAGCCAACAATGCGTCCGAATTAAGTTTTCTTGGACTTTCCTGATAGCTGGAAATATACTTAAGAACACTACAATCACAAATTTGAAAAATCCTAATTAGCTTCGTTGATATGTAGCTTGAAGTGAGGCGACCTCATGGGTGTTCTGCGATTTTTATGTTGACCAAACTTGTCTCTTTTTTCGGCCTTGCACTACAATTTTCAACCGACAAGGATGATTAGAGTTTCATCTCCATATCGTAGCCGTACTCTCAAGTTTTGTCACCGAAAATTATCCTAACCAAAAATGTGGGATCACTGTTAGAACGTTCAAGCAGCTAAAGGGAAATTGACATTCGGTTGGATTTTTGTTCAACAGACAACAATCAAAGGGCAAGTGTACCTGAAACTCGATGCATGTCTACATATTGTATCAAAATTGTACGTACAGAGCCTTCCAAAATATTACACTGATCAGCAAGTTCGAAACGACCATTTTCGAGCACTTTTGCCCGCACTTCTTCCACATGGCAAATGTCAGTTGCCATTGATGGTCGATTCCCATGCTCCTCATCTTCGGCGGACTCCTGACCAGTTTTGCATCGTTTAACCCACTCGAAACAGTGAGAACAACTCATACAATGATCTTGGTAAACTTTACTTAACATACCAAAAGTTTCAGTTCAAGGTATACCAAGTTTAAAACAAAATTTAATGTGAACTCTTTGCTGTATCAGTGATCGCATTATGAAAATCGCAGAACGCATCTGACTTACTCGTATTCAAGGTGACACAGAATGAAAACTGATCATAATAAACAAAATCTGTGAACCTAGCGTTCTTAAGTATATTTTCAGCTATCAGGAAAGTCCAAAAAAACCAAATTCGGATGCATTGTGGGCCAGTTATCACCAAAATCTGGTTTCTAATCTAATAGACCTCGTACATATTCTAAGGGTACAATATAGTTCAACTTACTTTGAATTCAACGGCACCACAGATACTGTACGTACATATAGGTCCCTCTATCCTTAAGACCGTGTCACCTGAGGCATTTTTGATTGCAAACGAAGGAGATAAAATGCTCCATTCTTGTTCCACATAACCAACCACAGTGCCAGGTGGAGCTGAGACTTCCATTTTCTGAAAAATGAGCATTAAAAAAATGAATAGGTGGATAGGCAGTAATGAAGAATTTGGGGAGAGCAAAAAAATATTTTATTTTATTTATTTTCATAAAATACAAGTTTTGCAGAAGGCATATGAATTCTTCCTTTTAAATTACAGAGGAAATTTTTTTTAAAACATAAACTAGCTTCTCTGAAAATATCAAAGAAAAATGTGCATAGATCTCTTTACAAAGAGACATTTTAAAAGGGGGTGCAAAAAGACTTTATACATCCTTGGGAAATGGCATCAATACATTTTGATGAAATTTTATCAAGCTATTCGTTTACTCATTTTAGGCCTGAAATTTTCAAGTATGAGCCTGAGAATTCTTATGTGTTTCCTCTCCACACCTTCCTGCACCACGTCCAGCAAAACCCTCTCTGGATAGAATAATGGATGGGAGGAGAGAATGCATGCACCAATCAAGGCCGATACTTACACACACTAAAGAACACTGAATGTATGATCCAAGGCAGAGGTTGCATGACAATCAGGAGGGACGTCTTAAATTTCTCAATCACAAAAATTACCTATCAAAAAATTATCTAAGTTCGACAAGAGAATATCTCCGCTCCATAGCTTTCAGTTCAGATTTTTAAGGCTTCTGCTTAAAAGGAGCCTACAAATAAACCAAAAAACATTTCCTTGGTAATATGACGGTCATTTTTTAATACACTAATGTTCATGCGGCGTTCTTCCTAGGCACCATAGTAAAGTCTCATTTTGGGAGCCTCTATCGCTATAAAAAGGACCTGCATGTTAGACTTACTGGGCCACATTGGCGCCATAATTCAACTTTATAAATAAGTTATTTTTTAGTAACAATGGCTCTGTTGCACACATGAGGTACAGCATACTTGAATAAACTTGACAGAAGTTAAATCGGACTACCAAAAAATGAAATCACCTCTAAACTGAAACTAGGAAAAACTCAAACCTTAAACTTACTTGGAGACAACATGGAAACCAGCAAGAATCACAAGCAAGTGGTCGGTCGAGATGAATGACTTGGTTCTTGTAGTTATCGAGGATTTTCATTCCGAACGGGCGAATGGGGCCGCAACAATTCCTCGTGCAACAATCAGATTCTTCGACTGCGTAGTAAACTTTCTGCCCTTGTCCGTTCTTAATTGTGAACTTGTTCTTCGTTTCAAAACCAACCAAAGCTGAGAGAAGGAAGAGAATGAATGGAATCTTTCAAATGAGGATTTTACACACTTAAGAATTCTGTGTGAAATGTGAAATAAGGTTATGTGTTGTAAAAAGTAAAGAAAATAAAATAATTTAAAATGAAAAACATGAGTCGTACCTCATTAATCATTACTATGAGCTCTTTGACCCCCTAAATTTTCATTTTTTATGATAGTTTGTTCAACCATTTTACTGGGCCAGTTTCCATAATAATTGCCGCTATCAACAGGTTGCAGTCCCTAAATGAGCCAGTTTCATTCAGATTTTGGAAATATGACCCACACTTTTTTTTTATTTTACGTGAATAGAAATATTCATTTTTGTCACAGTTTGTTCTAAAGATCTAACGTGCCGAGTTTCATTATTTTTGCGACTATCGATGGGAGGTAGTCCCTAGATAAGCCTGCTCTATTTAGAATAACTCAGGGGGGCTTGCAAATCAGGACTTAGAGGGCGCAAAGCGCCCTTATCAAGTTGGGCGGCATAGTGGCCAGGAGGCTTGGCCCCCTAATACGTGCTATCTACTCAAAAATAAATTGATCTGCATGCTACTTAAGTGGAGCAGTTATAAATTTGAGTGCTCTTCTGAAATTCCTGTTCAATAAAAACTCTACTTAACATACAGCTGCATGTTAACAGGTGAATAAAAGATATTCAGTATAATCTAGTCAGCAAATGCATTTCATATGAACAAGAAAACATTATGGGTTGTGTTATGAGCAGACAGTTCATACCTTCAAGTAATTCAACTTTCTGCTTCACCAGTAGTTGATCAATCGATGTTAGGTATTCCAAGCCAGGAGGGATATTGGACGGTAAGCTTTGCGGAATATTCATCCAACCATCTGACAACAAAAATAGCAAGAGGTAAGAAAAAATGACATGACTCAGTCGAAAAGGTACAAAATTAAAAAATTAATCTTGAAAAGTCTGTAGAGGTCCAGTGTCCAAATCAAACCGAAAGTTTTAAGGTGGGAACATTGGATTACCCCCAGTATCGGCATTGCTTTAACCAAACATGGCACCGTTTGCCGGCGAGAGATCCAATTTGTTTTAACTACAAAATAAAATACTCTTGGGCGAGAAAAATCCCGAATAAAAGCAAATAATTGCACACGATAAAAAAAAAAAAAAAAACTTGAACCTGGGTCAGCTAAGTCCATGATGTGACAACTGAGAAAATACTGATTGACAAAGATTAAAATTCAAGGCACAGGAACATCTTAAACGAATCTCTTTTAGCAGACAGTTAGTGAATATTCGATGGAGAGATATCCAACAAATAAACATTGGACACATTCTAACCTCAAGAAAGAGCTTCGGTTATTTTTGCCTCATAAATCAATATCATGAAAAGAACTTGGCGGGAGTATCCAAGAGAAAAATGGACCAGGGGAGGGGTGGTAGGAGAGGGTTCTTTTGACAGAGCAGTGTTACTTCTCCACCTTGAATCTTCACAGAGTGTATGTTATCAAATAATAAGGGTCTTTGACATCAATTAAAAACAGACTTTTTTTCTACCGTGGAATCCACTCGAGAATTCGCAAGCACGCGACCAAAAGTCTGATAAATGAAAGCTGCTTTTTACATTCACATCATGATTCATAAGTGGGACAGTAAATGAGAAGAAAATACTCAGAAAAATAGGAAATGTGATAATTCAAGAATAGGGAAGGCAATAAAAAAGATAAAAAAAACCATAAGAATCAATCAATTACATATTCTGCCAGAGATTCTTCCTTCCGACGAGAGATAATGATAGATCGGTTGGTGTGGTTAATTAATTGACTGAGTGATTAATTAATTGATTTACTAATTACGTATTTCATTGTGTACCGCTTTTGACACAGCAGCATATCATTACCAAGGCGGGTGATCTATTTATAATTATGCTTGTATATTCAATAACAAAAGGTAAAAAATATTCCATACACAAAATGAAAGAGGCAAGATTATCAACTACATTTATTTTCAACGATGTTTCATCACTGCTTTTAGGACTTTGAGTTCCCTCTCCCTTGTTTTCTTGAACTGGATGCAAGAGTGATACATGGATCACCAATTTCCTTTTAATGTCAAGAACACAGGAAATATTCAGCATGATAAATTTTGAAGAGAAATTATCACCTGAAACCTGACTAGGAACAGTAATGTCAAAAATATTTTACTATATGTTTGAAAATTAAGGTTTTGTGAGAAAAATTTTTCATGCCAAAAGACCACAATTTGAGTGGAGAACTACAAAAAATAGTGATGATTCAGAGATCTTCTGAACTCTTCAAGAGGTCTAGAGGTGCCATTATCACTCACCTCATTTTCATTGGGCTCACCGTTATTTTTACCTATATGACTTTTTTTTTCGTTTCTTTTTGTTTTCTTTCAGGAATGACTGAACTTTAGATTCCAGAGTAAGACAATGTTAGGATTTTTACGCATGTTACATCTATTCACTTTATTTTATATGATTTTGATGTCCTTAATTCCCTCATCATTCTTAGACAGTGGCAAGGATTTTGTACTTCACGTTAATGATAGGGATCATTATTATTCTCTTTCCGACTTCTTCGACTTAGTTCTTTATCTGTGTGTCAAGGTTCAGTTTACCAGAAATTAAACTGCGTATCAAGATTTTGTTTACAAGAACTTAAACTGTCTTCCTGTTTATGTTTCAATGATGATTTCACCAATAAAAATAAAAAGAGACTGGAGGGAATTTTAATTTTAAAAGTTGCCTATCATCAAACGGATCATACAAAATAAGAACTTGAGACAGAATCACTTTGGATTTAGATTAATTATTTTCCTACTATTATGCAATTACAGGAACAGAGCAAAAATTTTCTGCTGGAGAATTTATAGCCTACTGTTATTTTCACAATCTATAAATTAAAGTTAAAGACGACAGGTATATTTATTTTAATAAGATGAAAAAAGCGATTTGTAAATCTTGCCATTAACTATACTTGATTATAAAAGAGAGGGTAACATAGTTTCAACCATCGAAAAAGCTGAAGTTAGAGAGGTGTCAGATATTAAATTAAAGTGATTGAGTTTAGCAATCGTTGGGGTTTTTAATTACTAAAGGACTGAAACAAGGGTGTTGTTTGTCGCCAACCTTATGTAAAGTGTACCTGGAAGAAGTTTTAAAGGAATGGAAAAGATGCTGTTCGGGAATGGGCGTCCCGCTACGTGAAGATGGCACCCTTTATACTCTGTGCTTTGCTGATGATCAGGTGGTAATAGCTCAGGACGAAGAAGATGCGAATTACATGACGCGGAAGCTAGTGGAAGTATACCGAAAGTGGGGAATGGAAGTAAATGTGGTTAAGACGGAGAAGTTGGTGATCGGAGAAGGTGGTATCGGTGGTGATCAGCAAAGCATTGAACTGGAGGATGGTCGGAAAATTCAGGACTGTGAAGAGTATAAATATCTAGGAGTTTGGTTAACTAAGGACGGAAATTTGGATCGGGCTATTAAAGATCGGAATGTGCAAGGCAGGAAAGCTATCGCGATGCTAAATGGGGTTCTCTGGGACCAGAGTATCTCCAAGGAGACCAAAAGGAAAATTTACAACGTCATCGTGAAGAGTATCGTAACTTACGGGAGTGAGGTCTGGCAACTCAAGAAAAGAACTGAAGACATGCTTAGGGCAACTGAGATGGACTTTTGGCGGAGGTCTGCTGGCATCTCAAGAAGAGAGCGTATCCGCAATGTAAAAGTACGCGAGATCATGGGTGTAGAGAAGGACATCGTGCACGATATCAGGTCCAAGCAGTTGGTCTGGTATGGACATGTGCGAAGGATGGCAGACGACCGGTTGCCCAAGCAGGTCTTCGATTGGGTTCCTCCCGGAAGGCGACGGCGTGGACGTCCTGTGAAAGGTTGGCGACAAGGGGTGGAGGAGGAGATCAGAAGGTGCCAATTGCCTGATGATCTCTGGGAGGATAGGGGGCAATGGCGATTGGGCGTCGCAGAGCGCGAGGCGGCGCTATAAAAGCGACTTTATGTATGTGTGTATGATTGAGTTTAGCATTGGAACAAGCGATAACTTTAGGAGATAATGAAATAAAATAAAAAGAAATATATTTCTACAATAAATCGTATCACTTACAGAACAAAATGAAAAATAAAAATAAAAAAACTGTAGGAATTTAGTTTAAAAACCTAATTATTAAATTTACGAAACAAATAGTAGCTTCAAATGATGTTGTATTTTGCCTGCCTTTTATCTGTTTTTTAAAAAAAATTGCTAGTGAGTATTTCCTAAATCATTCCTTTAAATTTTTTAAATTGGATAGTACACAATGGTTCGTCAAGATACCTATTTTGTTATGTATTTGAAAAATAAAAGTGAACAACTCATAAAACTGCCTTCAGTTTATTAGAGTAAATATTAGTTACAGAAATAAAATAGGAAATATTCAAATTTTGTTACCTCTTATCTTCGTCTGAAATGAGTTTTGAATACATCTTCTTGTTTGATCTTTTGAAAAGTTTGTCACACAGCACAGAAAACTTTTTGCAGTTTTTTAAAAGGATTGTTTTGAAAGTTCTCTTAAATGAAATAGCACTATAAGCATCTTGTTTCGTGTTGGGAAAAAATTCTTCTTTGACATTTGAGATCATTTTACAGCACTTGAAAGGAAAATTAGCCACGAATTAAGTCTAAGCTCTCAGTGAGACAGAAAACTTAACAATGTGATTCTCTTTGATGGAAAATTCAAAAGTAATGTAAAACAGAGGATACACATGGCACGGCTAGAGCAGATTATCTCGCAATCAATCCTATTAAGTGAGCAAGTCCCCTTGTCACTTATCAGTGGCCTGGGGCTACGGGCTCAAGAGCACTTAAACTATCCCAATTATTTACTTAAACAGACTACGCACACAGGCATACCACACTGATCCCAGTGCAGCAAGTGAATGAAAGGAGAGGGGGAGCTATGTTCAAAAGGACAGGAGAAATAGTTCTGGAAGGGGAGAGGCCAAGCTTCATTCTGGTTGGGCCGTTATCTTTTGGCAGGTACCTTGAAAAAATGAAGAGAGAAAGGTAAACACTGCTATCTCTGTCCAACTGATGAAACAAACAGTATTGCTAACAGGCTTAAGATGCAGTCTGCAGCCTTTGATTGGGCATTTATCATCAAGAAATCAGGTCAGTTGATAAGGAGGGAAGACTGAGCAAGAGTCCACTCAAAATATTTTCAACTAATTTGGGAAGCAATATTATCTTGCATTTTAGGACAGGTCAAAGTTCAAGTCAGTTGAAAAGGGGAACAATGACGATTTATAGAGGCAGCTCAAATGATTGCTGGAGGTCATCAGATGGTCAATGGTTCTGTTAATACTCCAAGTTTCAGGAAACCTTTTTAGTGAGATCACAGAATGAAAAGCCTCTAGGAAAAAGACCAAAAAACTCCCATAAAAATAAAGGAGAAAACAAGAAAAAGGAGAAAGAGTTTTGAAATTTTGAAGATATTGCTTGGTCAATAAGACCTACTTATGAGGATACCAAAAAATTTAGGCCCTAGGCTCTAGTGTAGCTTCAAACTCGAATTTATCATAGTGGCACCTCCATCCTGTGAAAAATTACTTAATACAGTATGAATGAAAAGAATTTTGGCATGAACTAAGTCTTTATCTTTCTGCAGTTCAAAATGGCAACCAGCAGAAGTTTTAAAAATTTTGACATTTGTCGGCTGCCATTTTAAATTGATAATAGATTAGCACTTTTGGTCTATACTGAAAAAGTTTCGATTTCCATTTTCTTCCAAGTCAAGTATCGTTTGATAGGGACTAAGAGAGTCCCTACTGAATGATACACTATGTATTTGACAATATGAAAAATGAATGAAACAATTCTGTGCAAATTGAAGCATCCTGTTTGTCTCAAAAATATAATAGAAATGCAGATAAGATAGACTTGGTAGACCTCAAATAGCTGATAATTATGAAAAATAGTAGATAGAGACTTTACGTTTATTTCTTTTGATGATGATTATTTTTCTAAAATTTTTAATTTCTTTTTTTCGTACGTTCTCTACAATGCTTTATCGCAGGAAAAGCGTTACCATTTATTAAGGCTTACTTAGGTCTGGAGGAGCCATTTGAATTTTGTACTTATGCTTCTTAAGTTTTGTGTCGTAAATCACTGACAATGAGTTTGAACAAAGAGTCAAAATTTTGACTGTCCATGTGGAAAAGGGAAATTAGAACCTGACTCAAAATTCAGATACTGGTTCCACTGGCGCGAGCAACGAACAGTTGGGCGCCAAGTTGCCCAAAAATGTCAAATGTTAAACCGAACTGACCACGTGTGACGCTTAGAAGTTTGCAGTCCGATGAACACAGTTGGAGAAAAAGCTATTCCAAAGTTTTAATCGGTCATGTTCAGGACTCAAAATCACCAGGTTGTGATGTAGTTTAGCTTTCTCTATTGACACAAAAATGAAATTAATTTATTATTTTAAAAAACTGCACAACATTCCCCATGAAAAACTCAAATTCCATTTTTTTGACCGACCTTCACAAATATACTGTTTTGCAAAATTAGCTCCCAGGCACTGAAGTTTTCTACCTATGGATGGTCAAACTTCATTGCTTTTCAGACAAAGGAACATGACAACATTAAAATGTTGCAAAATTGACAATACCAAATTGTACTTATACTGAGAAACCAATGGGAATTTCTATTAAATTTTTATTCTGATAAAATGCAGAAATCAGCAAAATTTGGAACAAAAAACGCACTACTAGCAGTCTCATTCTCATAAGAAATTGAATTGTATGAGTCACTCTTGCAACCTTGGAATAAGGCTGTGGTCATCCGTCTTGAAGACAACAAAAGTGCATTCTTCCTGCAGATTTTTTATATCCTTTTTCCATGAATTATATCACAATTATTGTCAAACTGCCTGACTTTTAAACAGACTCAGTAACACTTTAAAAGCTGTCAATTTGTCTAATAAACTTGTTATTTCAATGCTCTGACTGAAAATATGAGTTCATTATTCCTCACATAAATACAAAGTATAGCCGATAATTATGGAGTAGACTGACCCCACTGAGCTTTAGTAAAAAAAGCCCTGAGTATAGACCCACTGACAAGATACCAATTTTTTACAGACAGATTTTTGGTGGGTATCAGTTCCTCTGCTTTCCATGCACTTAAAAAATTCGGACATTTACATAACTCTCAGGAAGCACCTGAATAAAAACATTATGTTAATGAGAAGTTTTTGGCTGTATTATCTCATAGATGATTTTAATGAGAGAGAAAGGTTAAAAAAAAACTGTAGGATGAAAGTAGAGAAAGTTATCATGAGGTTAACGACACATTCACTGATTTCTCAAACAAACTCGACGGAATACTGACGCAGTTTTTGGGATGAAAAAAGTGAAATTCGGGAGGAAGTATAAAAAGAAATGATAAGATTAGGGTCTGGACAGTGTGGCTGTGGTGAATTTTAACTAGATGAAAGAAAAGTAGCAGGAAAATTTTTGGAGAAAATAAGAGGAGGCAAATGGAAGATAAAAAAGAAAGTGGATCATCAAAACTTCTAAAGATAAGATCTTTTTTAAAACGGCAAAATTATACAATATGCACGATTAGAACACAACTTTCCTCTCTTCCTCTAATTTTCATTCAACCATCTCTGAAGTTGTTACTTTTTCAGAAAATGATAGCTGTGGAGGTGGTTGAACAATCAGAGAATTTAAGGAAGTTGGAGTTTTACTTAAAATTTGCTGTGATGCAAGTGCATGGGTCAAATATAAAACCAGAATTGGTGGAATGAAAGACGGAAGAAACTAGAGGGAGAAAAACTATGTTTTCCAGTCCTAACAGTCAACAACATTTCCAGGTTTGGATGATTCCATGTTCTGATATTTTAACTCTTGCGGGCCCTCCATATATTACATGATGGTCAAAGGGATCGAGAGATAAATGGCATGTATTCAACAAGGCTGCCATGATAGTGATGAGAGCCTTGAGTGCTAAAATGAAGTTTTGAGAATATAGGCTCACTAGCATTGCAGCGGAAAATTTTATTGAAAAAAGCGTCTGTTCTCTGTCAAATTCCCTTGAATCATCCGAAAGATTCTTAGAAATCGTTTGGATGATTAAAAATCGACCAATTTCATTTTAAATATAAAAAAAGGGTATTACTTATTTCCATATTAGGCTAGTGTTAGGCAAGACAGCCGTAAGTGCTATCTCTTACATTTTTCATGGTTGTGTTTTGAGCACACAACAAACACACTTTCAGATTAGAAAATGACAGAAAAAGGCGGCATTTTACTTGAAAGCACTGTTTTCATTGGCTCTTTGGAGAAATAATGCTACCAACGGCTCTTTTGCCTGAAACTACATCATTTTTTGCATATTTATGGCTTTTCCATAAGTCTCGTTTTCATAAAAAAAAAGATAAATTTAGTTGTTTCGGCTATTTCAGCGATTTCATCTTAAAGAGATTGAGAAAACAGAGAAGAATCGGAAAATTAAAAAACTCAAACTCACAAAATAAAATTAAAAAGCCGACGCGTTTCGGGACACCTCGGTCCCTTCTTCAAGNAAGAGATCAAGCGAAATCTAACATCAGGTTAAAGGAACAATAAAAGCTACCCAATACCTGAAAGGTTTGAAAATTTGAGAAGGCCAAGAGAGAGGACAAGAGTGAAATTTTACTATCTTCTGTTCAACAAATCAATTTAGAACATACCTCTGTGAGAGAGATTTTCATGCAACTATATATTGAATTATGACCTTGATTGTTCCTCTTTTTCAGAAGTAATTCATTCACTTAATATTTTTAAAACTTAATAATGGAGATTGCTTCCGTTTTTAATGCTGGTGGACTTGTTCCTACTTTTCCTCAGGATTCTTCATTTTCGTCAAAAATTGGGTAAGGAAAGGGTAACTCACACCTGACGTCATTTTGAAGAGGGGTCATCTTTAAGGTGCCTGCCCTCTATCTGATGAAGGGGAGAGGAGAGGATTTAAGAAATCAGAAAAGCCTGACAAAAGTCATTAATGTGCCAACCTTTGGCTTGAATTCACATGGCTCCAGCATGAGTAGTATGTAATTCAAATCCTTTTTGAGGTGGAGGAATCAATTTTCAAGGTGATGACCCCTTCAAATTGCAAAAAACAAAGTTTTTAAAAGATAACAAGCCGTTTTCAAACTGATGCAAGCATACTTTTTCATTTACAAATTATTCTAAAATAATTATTTTTCAAATTTAGTTCATAAATCTGTTTCTGCGGTCTATCACAGGGCCGAAAAGATTCTGCACCTTGCTGTTTTTGGTGGCAAAATAATGCTCTAAGTTCTAAAATTGCTGGACCAAAAAGCATCTGGCCTATAACCCAAGGGTGCTTGAATTGCTTGACCCAGCAACCCGTTAGTTGCAGTTCTGGAACTACAAAAAAAGGAAGGATCCCTGAAAGAGAGAGGACAGTTCATCCACTGCAATAGGATAATAGCCTCTTTATTACTTAGAAGTAAAAGCATTTTTTGTAAATTTGCTACTAAATGAGCGAAAAACTGTTTGGCAACCCGTTTGAAGAGAGGGAAATTATTAAAAGCCTTCTTGTATACAAAAATGCAATACTAAGACTGCCATAAAAATTGTGATGACTGACTTTGAGTATACAGCATTTTGCAACCCTGCTGTAATCCATGTGTACTTCAAAACTGGAGACCTTTTCTCAGGGGTCTGCAAACCACACGTAATGGTATACAGGGAACCGCTGTTACATATGTTGCAGGCAAATAGTAAAATCAGACATGTTATCAAATGTCGCGGCAGACAATAAAATTTTGACTGTTTACGAAATTTGGTAAATCACAGCGAAGAGTTTTCGAGTTTTCAATAATTATGGAAAAATAACTCATCAAATTTACAACTCCTCTCGTTTCTTACTCTTAAAATGCTTCTTATATAATTAAGTGTTTGAAATTTTAAACATGCTGAGAATTTCAAGATACTTAAATGTTCGTTCAGTAGCCAAAAATACTACTGTATGATGCCCATTATTGCAGAGAATTTTTTCTAGCAGTAGCGATGAATTATTTTCTCTAAATTTAGGAAAAGAATCAGAACTTCAATCGAAGTGAAATATTTGACAATTGGCTTAGGCATTTGACAGAATGCCTGATACGACTATTTGCCTGCAACATAATTTGTCAGGGTTGCTGGAATAGAATGTTGTCAGGATTCGAATAGCCAAAAGAAATTGTGATAAACTTACCACCAGGAGGTGCGTAGCCCCCCATATTGGGGCCAGGACCTGGTTGCTGGCTTATGGTTTGTCCATAGCCTCCAGAGGGGGGAGGATACCCAGATGGAGGTGGATATCCTGCCGGTGGTCCTGGATACGGCGCAGCAGGGGGTGGGTAACCTTGTGGAGGAGGGTAACCCTGAGCTGGAGGGTATCCAGGATAGCCTTGATTTTGTCCTTGAGGGGCGAATCCTGCAAACCATAAAAGATAAGAGAATGATGGAAAATACTGGAGAGTTAAACAATAACTGTAATCAACAATAGACAGCAAACTAGGAGCAATTGGACTTCATTTTGCAATCAGGAACTACAGTCTCTGACTACCATTGAAGAAAACATATGTACCATTGGTTCTCTTATGCATTTGTTTTTTTGCGGTTGGGCCAGAAATTGTAGTTCCTCATTGCAAAATGAAGTCCAACTTATACTGAGATAAGAGAACTTGATCTGCAGTGTGTTTCTAGACAATTTAACAACTTGAAATATTGCTTCTTCACAAAAGAATAAAACGAAATAAACCGAAACCTGTTGAATTAAACCTATCTTCATACACCTGTTCAAATGATAAATCAAATTTTTTACTAACACACCACTTTCACGATAAATTTTGTTAGTCTACGCTTTTCAGGGCCTTCCTGGGTACCTTTCTCAGGATATATAGCGATGTGATCGCTTGTATCCGTTCATCAGTTGTGGCATCTCCGATGTTGTTCTTGTTATTGTTGTTTTCCTTTGCATATCTGATAATGTCATTCTTAGTGTTGCTTTTTGGAATTGATTTTAATAACAGATTTTCACTGTTCTCAACTTCCAAGTTCCAAATTAATTCATTTCAAAATTCCGAATTAATTTTAAAAAAAAAAAAACAGCGCTAAGAATAGCATCAGATATGCAAAGCAAAACGGCAATAACAAGGACAGTGTCAGAGATCATGATCCAGAGAAGATACTGACGTGTAATAAATGATGCATCATTGGCACTGGTATGGTTGCCCTCAATATTCTCCGCAAGATTAGAGAAATGAGAAATATATGAATAAGACCTGAGAGAAAGGAAAGGAAACCAGCAAACTATAATTTTCAAAAGTCTCACCAACTGGAGGAGGATAGCCAGATTGCGGATTGGGAGGGTAGCCGGAATCTGAAAATAAAATATACATGAATATTTAAACAACAATCTCAATATTTAACATTCTAATAAAAACAAGGGCCAGTTTTAAGCAGATGCGGCCCGCATACACATTTTTCAAAGATTGGTGCATAATTCGCTTTCTTGGGTTTTAGGAGAGGTTACCTTATGTTGCTTTTTCTCTCTGAGGGCATGTAACTCCTCCACATAAGCTTCTGCTTTTGGGAGAGGATCTACTGTTTCATGTCATTTTTATGCGTGCCTCCCTTGAATAAATTTAAAGGAAAAAGAAAAAAAGCACATTCGAATTACTTGGTAAAAACTGTACTGCAATCCTGCAAAGATCCCCTTTGTATGCCTTATTTTAAAGTAAAACTTGAATGCAGAAAATTTAAGATTGCAGATGCTGCCATTGCAATTACCTGGAAGTCCCTCAGAAAGTTTGAAACACATTGTCACCTTCCAGCCTAAGTATCATGAGCGCAGCGCCATGTAACATTTCAAAATTTCTGCTGCCATTTTACTTTTTTACAGAGAAATTGCTAATTTAATCTGTTTGAAAAATTCACTGAATATTATCAGCAGCACAAAGAAAATTCAGTGAAATTTTCGGACAGCTTCATTGAACAATTTCTCAATAAAAAGAATAAAATGGCGGCAGAAATTTTCGGACATCGCATGACGCTTGTGATACTTTGGCCGGAAGGTGACAACATAAGTTTTGGTTTAGATTTCTGGAATTTTTAAATTCCAGACTATCTTCATGGAGAACAAGGCATACAGCTGCACTTATGGCCAAAAATGACAGGTTTAGAGGTCCAGGCGATGGTAGTGCCCTTGTCATCTCTGCCTTGCTATTGAAGCAAGGCTGTCAAACATGAGGCTTCAGTATTGCTATTTGTCAGTATTCAACGGTGTAAGTCCGTAATTTCATTACTCGGTTCACAACGTCGCAAACTTCCTGTCATACTTTATTTTTTAAACGGAAAACTATTGGACAGCAATTCTTTAAAACTGCCGTGATTTTTCTTCTCTGTGCAAAGAAAATTCTGCATGGAATGCAGAATTTCTCTACTTCAAGGAAAGATGTCAATTTGTTCTTCTTTAAAAAAATGACATAGAAGCGGAGATTTTCAGATACCGGCAAATGAGATATGTGGCAGACTTACGCCGCCGTATTGTTTCTTCCGCACAGTTTTTGAACGAAGCGAAAGGTTAACAGAGGACAAAAGTAAATAATATCCAACTCACTTGGCTGATTATACATTTTTTGAAGTTACGTTAAAAGTGTCTCAGCAGCTGATGAAATCTGGAAAGAAAATTAAAATACATTACAAATTTAATATATTTTTTGGCATGAGGTGGTAAGTATACATAGATAATCAAGAGTTCATGAGCAGTTCAGTTTAGTACTGATGTTCTGTCCGGAAAATTTCCCTGGGTATGTTTCTGCACTTGGCTTGCTAGGAAAAAAAAAGGTCAAGCTTTTCTCCGGGGAAGTTTGCTCAGTTCTAAGTACCTGATGAAATTTCCTGCCTTTTCTTGATAATGTAGGGGCACTTAATTTATGTGGGCAAAACGTCGGCACAACAACGCAATCAGCTGGCCTGTCGCGGACCTGATTTTGACGTGGAGCCTGACTCCGCAAAAAATTCCCTGACCGTTGACCAAATTCCCTGACTTCTCCCGGTCGTGTTGCATTCCCCAACTTTTCCTGGTCGCTGGCCACCCTGTGATAGTAACAACATCCAGCATAAACTTTCTGGAGAAAAAGTGAGTGGTCAAACTTCCATAGGGGCACAGCAAGAATTACAAAGATTTTGTGAGAGCGACTCTGTTCGTCTGACACTTGTTGTAATATTCTGAGAGACAATCATGGCAGTTACGAGATGAAAGATGTTTAAGCTGCTTGATGAAATGGGTTTATGAGTGACAGTACCTGCTCAACTGTGCTAAAGGTTCTAAAGTTGAAACGTTATGCCATGGTTGCTGATATGTACACACCACTTACTCCCAGACTCAATGGCAAAATGCAGTCTAATTACTGCCTTCCAAACAAGGCAATATTTGAGAAAACGAGAGTTATTTTTCGACTAAGAAGACTCACTATACTTACAGAATACTGAAGTAGAATGGTTAAAGTATGTTCACACGGCAACGTGAAGTTCTCAAGAAGTTCCTGGTTCCGGTAATTAAAGTAACAATAATAATTGTTTAATTATCTACTGATAAGAATGTCTCAAAAAGTGTTTTCTCTAACCAAACAACACACGGTCGACGCTGCGCGAGCATGATATTTTTAGGTCAGATGCAGTGAATTTCTAGCCAATCAGGGACGACCTAGTTTCGTCACCTCATATTACAGCCAATGAAATCCGATGATTTTGAGTTCCCGCCAAATGAGTAATGGGTGGACGCCCCGCTGGACTTGCGGTTGACGTCAAGATCGCGGCAAAAGAGATGATCATCAAACGGGAAAAAGAGTGATTCATAAGTTGATGACCAGAGTGAGTAATACTCTCATTGCAGAGAAACTAGTCTTCCCTCTTCCGCATCACCTCAACAGGTCTTCAAGTTTCAAGTAGTTCGGTCTTTCAAACGAAAGTGCCCTGCTATGTACGTCATTGCAGACGTAGACTCATTCATGGAAGAAAGGTTGCCAAATATACAGTGATAATCGCAAATCAGGAAGGGGAGCCAGGATTTGCTTTAAAACTTTTCTTCGTTCATGACATAAAAAGATGGAATAGCTATGCGGAAAGGGTAGTTCTGCTCTAGTGATCGCAATAATTTGGTGATGGGTAAGGGGGGGGGGGGGGGGGGGGGGAGAGCGCACTTTTCTACCACTTTTCGAGCACCGCTCTGGCAAGGATTTGAATTTGACCTACGCACGGGCAAAAATTTTCAGGAAGTCTTCCGCCATAAAATTTTCTAAGCGTAGCGTGAAATTGCTTTAAAAGTAAAATATCAATTTTTTTTTTTGTTTTAACACTTTACTTCTGTCGGCGATGGAAACCGCTCTACAACCTTCCTTGAGCAGCCTTGCATTGATATTGAGACGGGGTTGGATCGGGGGCGGAGGGGTGTAACAATCCTTTTGAGACATCCTTGCATGAAAGGCATCTTATCTGGTAATACCACGAGACATTGATAATTTAAGGAACTTATTGAAAGTCGGCAATGCTGCGTGCCCACACACATTTTTTTCAAGGTCCGCATTGCGGTATGGGTATGGTTGACTGTAGAACTAGGCCCCCCTCCCTCCCTCCTCCCACCCCCCTATTCGTTTTATGGTGAAACGAGTCGCACGCACAAAACGCATACTCGTAGGGGGATATGGCCAATAATAAGTTGGAACTTGGCCGAATTTTTCTTAACTTCGTAAAATGACGTGGGATAGAAAATTTTTTGACTGTTCCAACCAACAAGTAGCCAGGATTTGTAAAATGATTTATTGAGTGTCTCGTGGGTAGGTACCTACTTCGATCTTCCGCGGCCTCTTGTCGGTATTTCGATAAAATTTCGTGGGCTCGTGGGTTTTCGGGGCACTCAAAAATATACTCGTAGTCGTAGCATATTAGCGTAAATATTCGTGGACTATCGCGGTTACTATACGGATTTACGCAGTGTCGCGGTTATAGCTCTAAATTTCCGCGGTGTCGCGATTGTTTGAGTCCTCGAGTAAAACGGTCGAACGAAGTCCAAACACAATTCTCCTGAGGATAAGAGATTTCGAAGGCGTAAATATTGATTTTTTTTTTTTTTTTTTTTTTTTTTTTTTTTTTTTTAGTTCTTCGGTTTCTCCATAAAGTTTTTAGAGCATTTAAATGAGGCTTCACTCCTTCCGGACTTAGCAATTTCGGTTAGGGTACCTACTTTGCACACAGGTACTTTATAGGAACACAACTCGTTTTAAAAATCTACCGCGCCGATTTCATGAATTTTGCTGCTATCGTAGGGGGATACTTGGTCCCCCTCTGTTCACGGGAGCCACAATAGAAAGATCCCCCAGATTTTTTTTTTTTTTTTTTTTTTTTTTTTTTTTTTTTTTTTTTTTTTTTTTTTTTTTTTTTTTTTAATCAATGTTCATTTATTTAAGGACTTTGTTTCTTATTTCTTTCCTTTTTTACCTGAAAAATGTTAAGTGTGAAATTGGCCGTCTCCATGAGGCTGGAAAAAAGATGAACACGGATATTTCGCATAACTGTGTCGCGTAAGAAAATGACGAAACCTTCGGTCATTTAATAGACGAGGATGGATGTGTTGAGTTGAACGAACTACCTTCGTGAGGGGGTCAAGTGAAACTAGATTGTCTCGAAACTAGACATGTAGTCGCGTGTGCAAGCCATTACATCGCTTAAATTGACACGAAGGCGTGGAAAGAGTCCACGAAAGATGCATTGACGCGGGTACCTCTTATTTTAACGTCCTTCACTGATCGCTGGCTGGGAGGCATCTATTTAAAACTGTTAAGTTCACACACTGTCCAGTGACATTGAAATATGCGCTAAATACGTCAACTTTAACGAAAAGAGTGATATTCGTTCTCACAGCGTCACAACTGTCAATCAAACTTGCGCAAGATCGCTCACGGCGTTGCAAGCAACTATTCCGACTCTTGTGTATTGCACAGTATCACGTTGAAATGAAGGCGCACTGAAGAAGGTAAACTGGCTGGCCTTATTTAGTGACACAAAGGGTCTGTGTGAGCGTGTGCGTTGTTAAATACAACATGACATGAATGCGCATTCATGCTGTATATTCAATGATCCATCCTGCTCAAACTGTCTATTCAATTTATAATGCGTTACTTAACATTATAATGTAAAAAAGTTTAGAGTCTGTCATGAAAAGCTTTTGGAAAAATATAAAATTTATTTCCCATTGAAAATAAAGGTTTAAGCAAAGAGAGTAATAGTAATGATTGTTATTACAAGTTTGTAATTATTAAGTTTTACCAAATAGAGTGAATGTGTCTGAATAGGAATTTTGGATGGTCCAGAGATCGCTTTGAAAGTGAGGAGTTCTTGAGGAAATTTTGGCAAAAAATTTGCCAAGGAGCTTAAAAAAGGTCAAAAGTGTTTTTACTGACAGAAGGAGACTTGATTAAGTCTCCTTTAAAGTTGTAGTGGTGAGAAGAACGTTTCTCATTGGCCTGAAACTTTAAAGGGGGAAGTATGGAAGCAATGTTACCTTTCCCCCTTTATTTTAGAAAAATCCAAATTTTTTTTTTTGGTTAAGTATGGGAAAAAAGGCTTACAATGAATTGAATTAAAATTGATGAGAGGGGGACTTAATGAATTCTCGGTTCATGGGACCTATCCAAATCCATGGCTTGAAAGAAAAAAGTATTGAAGTAGAATAAAGAAATCATATATTTTAGCGGACAACAGCTTCATCCCACGGCCCATAAATATTATCTTTATACCGCTGTAACCGGACAAAGGCCAATGGGCATATAAAATTTATGAAAAGGATAACTAAAATAAATAAGAATGTCATAGTACGTGAGACAGTTAACAGTCCAAAGGCTGCTATCACAGAGAGTATGAAAATTACTAAAAAAGATTTCCCAATCTTTGAAATAAGGATGGGACATAAAACAAAGCATTCTACCGCTAGGGTAATTAACACAAATGTATGAAATGGAGAAGGAAGCCTTGAAGCAAGGCATATAGAGGCAAATATTGCCGCATTCAAGGACAAAGAACTAGAAACTATCGTTGCTGGCACTCCATAATCAAAAAATATTAAATGAACAGACATCATAAAGACGGTTAGTGCATAAATAGTATCTGTACTAATTGTTTCTGTCAAAGTTTTCAAGATTGGGGCGAGTAAATAACTAAATAACAGAAATACAAGGAGAGTTCTAAAAACTTTCAAAATGCTGTACTGACGTGAAAAAAATAAAATATAACTGCAACATGTGGCAAGACTTAAGTAGGACAGCAGGGCTTCTGGTTGTATCCACTCATTGTACAAGTAGATAAATCCCAGGATAAAAAAAATAATAATGCAAAATTCCTGGATTACAAGACCTGCCCCTAAACATGCTTCTTGGAAAGTTATTGACCTGACATGTAGATTTTTCTTCAATTCATCCAAAAATGTCTTGTCAGTGTAGTTGTCCGGATAACCTTTGTTTTCATATAGGTTCTTCTTCCAGCATTTCATGCTAGAATCTTTGTTACACAACATTTTTCAGCAAAATCAAACACCAAAAATGTGAAGGAAATCTACAACTTTTGGAAAGAAGTTGAAAAAGTATCAGTCACTATCCAAATTTTAAAAGTATAGAACCTGATGAATTTCATCAATCCTCATAACATTTAAGGATAGGGTTATCACTTGGATGCTTTGCTTCTATAAAAATAGAATGCATTTTTTTTAAATGCTACAATCTCTCTTCCTGTGCGCTCTCAATTTCTTTCTTAAAATCTGTAGTTCTTTGAGCATCCTTTTTTGCTATGTTAGAAATACCAGTATAAGAGCCTTAAGTAGCGCAGAATGACATTGCTGATAATTTTGCTAAATTCCTAAATGATACATTCATATAAAATTTACTGTGAAATAACATCCGTATCATTTTTATTATAAAAACCTACTTTGTTAAACACCGTCTATTGTATGATGTAATATGTCTTGTATTTCGCTAGAATGTTCACCTGTGATGTTACCAGATATCTGAACTGCGTCTTTATCACACTCAGGTTTTTTTATTCCCGTTAATGACTCTTTGCACTTATTGAGCAACTGGGCCAACTACCTGAGAACAGCCAAAGAAAAAACAAACCAAAGAGAACTGTTAAATAAGGCTCATGAAAAATATTTGACTGAATCAATGAGAATTATTTACCACAATTTATTGATACAGTTTTCACGGCTTGTTTCATAATATGCTGGTTATTACTTGTGATGACATAATTGTGCTTAAAAATCAAATTAATTTGTTAAGGTAAAGTTGGTATAAAATATCAATACATAAAATTCATGTTCAAAAAAATTCTCTCATATATGAAAAAAGTTTCTTTTAAGAGTATAATAATTTTTTTTTTTTATTTAATTCTAGTTATTCTTCTTTATCTACATCTTGTTAATGGCATTGATGTACAGTACAAGTATCACAGAATAGTTGCCTAGGGAATTTTAGAGACTAGATGCTGACCACAGTATCAAAAGTATTAAACCAGATAGTATGCAGTATGAAATTTGTTAATAAATCAAGTTAACTATTTTTATCTATTTTTACCCATGGGAGTAAATTATATTAAGTATCAGGCTGAAATTTACCACATGGATCTTAATAAATGCAGCTGTCAACTTCATATTTTCATACCTTGAGTAAACTGTCTTGTTGAGAAAAATTAATTGTTCGTAGGAAAACTGTACTGACATTTAATTTTTTCAACGTCAAACATTTCATGCGCAATCAATACTCAACTCTTCACTTGATATTAAATACAAAATTGTTAACTTAATGCTGTTACGGCAACTAAAAAAACTTCGTCTACTTAACTGCAAAGGCCCTGAAACAATTTTATGCTCATTGTGAATAGATTTCGTAGTTTGTTTTCCTATCAATTGACATTGTCAAGGATTTTCTTGCCTCAATTTGGATATTGAGATCAATTTCATAGTAAATTATATCCTCTGAATTTTTCGTTGCTTCAGTGATTATTTGTCCATTTGGACCTATTAATTATTCGACTACCACCGAAAAAAATGAGCTACCCTCTATTTCTCACCTGTTTAGAGCGACTATATGAATTAAATTTTCATAAGCACAACGTGGTGTGTTGATACACCACGCTCATAGAGCAGGTTTGCACCAAGCAGATGGCATAACTATAATATCTGAATTTTTAAATTCAAAATTCTGGCAACTTCAGGAAATGCTGCATCATAACAAATCATTAAGTACTTAAATACGGCACACACCAATATCAAAAACAGGTGCTTAGTCTGTCACCGGGGGTAAACCGTAATTTTTCATCTTTGGACAGATGCATTTTTCGATATAAATCTAGCCAAATTTTTCTATTTGGTATCCAAATACCAGCGGAATTATAAATTGCATTTGTTTTATCATCTCCCTCTACAAAACCGCAGATTAGGGCTAAATTAAGTTTGGTGGATAGGTTGGTTAACGGAGAGTCTGTATTTCCATCCTTAGTCTCACTGAGTGAGAAATATTATTCACCTAAGAACGATGGTGAGTAGCCAGTTGGGGCTAATTCAGGAAAACAAATGATTTGACGTTGTTTTCCTTCCCTTTGTAACAATAATTCTCTAGAGATAGTAATTTTTATCTTTATCACCTAGTGTTGCATCTGTCTGGGCTATTGCTATTTTGACCATGCTTAATCTATGGTTGAGTTTTATCCGAGCATGCGTCCATTAAATTTTCAGCACACTTGCTTTGCCAAAGTCCTTAAGCCTCCTTAGGTGGCTCAGTTGCTTGTTAATTTCAGTTGTTTCTTTCTTCACCTGAAACAAACATTGTAATATGAAATAGGTAAGTAATAATAAAAAAGAATGAAAGTTTCCACTCAAACTCAGAGTGGCGCACTTTTAAACAGTGAAAAGAAGGGGTATCGATAAGGACCTTTTTTGGCCCCACCTAAAATCCGGAATTATTTTTTTTTCTTTGTATTGTACTTTTGTTTCTTTCTTTTATTTGTCAGTTGAGTTTATCATTTGTTCAGCTGTTTTGCTCTTTTTTGTTAATTATTTGGTAATTGGGCAACTTGCCCGTTTGGTATAATAAATAAATAGATAAATTTATATGGGTTTTCCAAGTTGACTTAATGTAGTTTACAGAAACAATCATGATTTGGTCCATAGGCCACTGGACACGTGTTAAGGGTTGCCTGAATATACATTTGCAGGCGTATTTTAGCAAAAATGCATGTTTTTCTATCACTCCAAGGCTTTTTTGACACCGAGCGCATTGGCTAACTAAAACGAACTTTTGATAAGTTATCAAGGAGGCTTTGGGACACATTTTAACCCTGGTTTGGTTTAAGTTAGATGATGCCCTCATAGTAAAAAAAAACTTTTTCAAAAATTGACTTTTAAGGGACATCCGCAGGGTTTTTTTTTTGGCTACGATTAAAGAAAATGAATTCAAGATACTTTAGTCTTGCAGATCAACTAAAAATGACAAAATCTGGCCAAACAGCAAATTTCTGCGTTGAATATTAACAGAGGTATCTCCCCTGGAAAAACTCGATTTATGAAGTCATCCACCGCGGTAGAACTGGGGAAAGAAAAGCAGAGACAAATGTCACATCCAAAAATTGCACCATTCAACAGATATTTTCATGCTAATCAATGGGCCAACTGACGATTGATGCATCCAGACTGATGTGACTTCTGAATTTCTTTTCTTTCCCCAGTTCTAGGACGTATCATGTTATGCACTACCACAGTGGATGACATCATAAATCGAGTTTTTCAAGGCAAGATATCTTGTCGATTAATATTCAAGGTAGAGAGTTGCAGTCTGTTGGGACAGATCTTTTCATTTTGAGCCAGTCTACTAGAACCAAGCATAATAACATGATTCTATTACCAGCACAACTGGCCCGTGAAACAGTGGCTAAGCTATCGATTTGCAGGGAAGAGATGGTCTAGGTGGGCTTTCAAAATGATGAAATAAGCCTCATTATCACAGCATGACTACATGCAGACTAACTAACTCTTTCTCTTCAGAGATTAAACAACATGAAAGTGAAAGAGGGAGAGAGTTAGAGGACATTCAGGGAAAGAGGAAGTTACAATTCTTGAGGAGGAAATTTAGGCGAGAAATACCTGGCAATGGACTCCAAACAAGGATGATCATTATGTGTGGCAACAGTATTCACAGTTCTTGCTATTTGCAGGGGATTGGGAAACAAAACCTGTAAAACACTCTTCACTGTGCTCAGAGGTTCCTTCTTTAAAGTTAGCATCAGTCTCACACACAGGAATCGATTGTTGAAACTCTTATCGGCATGCCCAGGCCTAGGGGATCAAGGTCTTCCAGACGCAAAGCTCACACATTCCTCATCTTGTCCTGGCGTACCAACAGAGTTTCAAAAACCGGTCTGCATTTATAAGCTATGTTTATGCGAGCCTCTAAACCTAACTTCAATCGAAACCTGAGTTTGAAACCAAGGTTCAAATCACGGCATAAACGATGCGGAACTAACAAAATGTAGGTTTCCGAAATTTGTGTTTGAAACCTTATTTCACACTAAGAACTAGGTTTCTGCATTCAGCATAGACAAACCGAAGGTTGAAATTCTACTTCAAATGCGATTTCCAGGAGAGCAATTGGCAACATGGCGGATTCGTTATCACAACGTTCGTAAACAACTGGTGCTTCTCCCATGATTTTGATGTAATTTTGCCATTATTTACCACTTTATATAAACAGAATTTTAGTAATGGACCACTAGACAAGGTACGAATTTAAGCATTCTGATACATGTTTCTTGACCAAAATTTCACGTAAAACACGATTCACGCAAAGAAAATTACCAAAATTAACTCCTAACAAAGATATTAACGTTTTTATTTCACATTGGTTACGAGGAATTTGAACTGCCCGCTCATAAGAAACTCAAAGCTCTGCGTAAGTTTAATCGTGCACTACAACAATTTCAACAAGCTTCTCGATCTAGCAATGTTCATTTCCCACCATGAGTTGTTCAAACTATAAACAACTTGCTATCGCTGAGCCAAAGCATCAAGATTGAGGTTGCCAGATTTTTATATCTCAGAGACTGTCATGATAACGTTTTGAGCGCGATGTGAGTCACGTAGAGCATTGAGTTTTCATGAGCGGGTGGTTTGAATTCACGCATCAAGAATCATTAAATATCTTCGTAAGGAGTTGATTCCGGTAATTTTCGTTGTGCGCATCGTGTTCTACGTGAAATTTTAGTTGTGAAACATGTATCAGAATGCTGAAATTCGTGCCATGTCTACTGGTCCAGTGTTTAGATTGTGAAAAAATGATTAAACTGTCATTTTCCCAACTATTCCTCAGAAAGTCGGTAAAGGCTTTTCTAGTGAGGATGAAGCCTCCTTATCTCCTAGCTCTAGCTTAGTCTCCTCAGCTTATATATTGTGGAACATACACAGGATATAAGAGTAATAATATATTATTGAATCAATTCATAGTGGAAAAATGTAGTATAGCTTGTGAAAAAGGGGCAAACATGAAATTCAAGTTCAATCGAAAATATGATGCGCATAGACTGCGCCAAAATTGGAAAGTTTGATTTCCCACAAAGTCAGGTTACAGCGCCCGCATAAACCCAACAGAAGAAACTCGCATTATAAACTCGAGTTTCGTGAAACCTTGGTTTCAAGCCTCGCATAAACGTAGCTATTGATTGACGAGATAAGATGATAAGATAAGAGGAGATAAAGAGATACCTCTTGGTCCATAGCGGAGTCTGCAAAACAAGTCCGGCGACAGACAAAAGGACCTGCTATTCTATCATATCTGATGGCAATTCAGTTGTAACATCGTAAGTTATGGGAACTTTTCTACATTCTCAGAGAGGAATCAATAGTGTAAGCTTCCGCGATTTAGTTGAAGGAGAGGCGATTGAAAGGAATACAAGAAAAACGACTCATACCTGTAAAGATCAAGTAAAGATCCACTCTAAACTTCGGTTTCTCCGCGCTTCCCATGGCTTCTTCTTGATTCTCGTTGGCCCTGGGGTTAAATCTTCGTCTTGAATTTATGGAATACTTCTAAATGAGTAGAGCAGACAGTTTTAACGGTTAGTAATTAAATAAATTATAATAAATTGAACGATCCGGGTGCCGGCCGTGATTCCGCGTAAATGCGTATTTGCGTATTACATACATTGCATTAGCGTACGCATGGCCGCCATGTTGCTTTCTGCGAACGAATATCGAATATCGTATCGAATGCGATTATTCGAGTATCGCACTATCGATTCTTTACCATAGCTTCTAACGGGGACGTGGCCATATTCGATCATTCACAAAAGTTGGCAAGAAATCCGCCTCTCAGCCAGAATCCGTTCTTCTCGCACCGGCTCACATTCGAGAAAGGCTGCGGCTAGAATTCTCACGATCAGCGACCTTTCTCCTCATTTTACTTTTAAACTTTCAATCTTAGAGGAAAATGTCATAGGACCCGAAATAACGACCGTGAAATTTCCTATCGGTTCATTACACAAAA